GTAAATCTCACATTTGATGATGGACCACAGGTTCTCAATGGGGTTCAGATCAGGTGAACAAGGTGGCCATGTCATTAGTTTTTCTTCTTTTATACCCTTTCTTGCCAGCCACGCTGTGGAGTACTTGGACGCGTGTGATGGAGCATTGTCCTGCATGAAAATCATGTTTTTCTTGAAGGATGCAGACTTCTTCCTGTACCACTGCTTGAAGAAGGAGTCTTCCAGAAACTGGCAGTAGGACTGGGATTTGAGCTTGACTCCATCCTCAACCCGAAAAGGCCCCACAAGCTCATCTTTGATGATACCAGCCCAAACCAGTACTCCACCTCCACCTTGCTGGCGTCTGAGTCGGACTGGAGCTCTCTGCCCTTTACCAATCCAGCCACGGGCCCATCCATCTGGCCCATCAAGACTCACTCTCATTTCATCAGTCCATAAAACCTTAGAAAAACCAGTCTTGAGATATTTCTTGGCCCAGTCTTGACGTTTCAGCTTGTGTGTCTTGTTCAGTGGTGGTCGTCTTTCAGCCTTTCTTACCTTGGCCATGTCTCTGAGTATTGCACACCTTGTGCTTTTGGGCATTCCAGTGATGTTGCAGCTCTGAAATACGGCCAAACTGGTGGCAAGTGGCATCTTGGCAGCTGCACGCTTGACTTTTCTCAGTTCATGGGCAGTTATTTTGCGCCTTGGTTTTTCCACACGCTTCTTGCGACCCTGTTGACGATTTTGAATGAAACGCTTGATTGTTCGATGATCACGCTTCAGAAGCTTTGCAATTTTGAGACTGCTGCATCCCTCTGCAAGATATCTCACTATTTTTGACTTTTCTGAGCCTGTCAAGTCCTTCTTTTGACCCGTTTTGCCAAAGGAAAGGACGTTGCCTAATAATTATGCACACCTGATATAGGGTGTTGATGTCATTAGACCACACCCCTTCTCATTACAGAGATGCACATCACCTAATATGCTTAATTGGTAGTAGGCTTTCGAGCCTATACAGCTTGGAGTAAGACAACATGCATGAAGAGGATGATGTGGACAAAATACTCATTTGCCTAATAATTCTGCACTCCCTGTATGTCCACCTTTATTTGAGTTAACAGTCTTTCTCAGGTCGGGGGGGAAAGTAAATAGTTCCTACAAAGATTTTCTGCCATTCCTCTGAGCCAATTTTATTTGTTTCATTTCCTGGAGGTTTTTGTTATTGTTCTTGCTCAGTTCTATTTAAAGTATCCCAAGGATCAGTTAGCTCTAACTCTGACTTATATTTCTGTGTTAAATCTACACTTATAAGTGCATCGCAAACCCAAACCCTTCTGAAACACAACACCTAACCTGACGTGCACCTCCCCAGAAGTCTTACACATTGCAGACGACACAGGTATAAATGGTGGCAACAGCATTATTCTTGTTCCAGCTTGTTGACCTATGACTGTATCCCCATCTACACCTCAAAGTTCAATAATTAAGTTTGCTGATGACACCTCCATTTAATTTCTAAAGGGTTGATCTGACTGAGTGGTTTAGGGACACATGATCTAGTCTTTAACACCTCCAATGCAACAGAAATGGTCATTGAATTCAGGAGGTCTAAGGTCAAGAACCGCAGCAATTTCCTAATGTTGTAAACCTGCTCAACATTTGGCAATAAACCCCTTTCTGATTCTGATTCTGATTCTGATTCTGAAGAAACAACATCTCCCACTCTACATACATTGTTGAAATAGTGGCGATTGCGTAGAAGTAACCGGGAGTCACCCTCTCTGTGCACTAACACCTCCCAGTTGAGATGAGTGGGCACAATAAGGGCTCTTCTTCCTCAGAAACAGGCCAAACTTTCACAGAAACCGTTGATGAACTTACACAGGAGTACAGAGGAACCATCAACACTGCTGCAGAAAGGAAGGATCTGCATCGAGGGGCGAAGGTGTCTGAGCGCTTTGTTTCTATAGAGCTCTGCACTCACACTACGCCACCAGGATGACGAACAAAGCAGACGGTATCATAAGCAAGGATAATAAACATCCCGGACATTCTTTGTTTGAACCGCTGCCATCCAGCAAACGGTTCACAGCAATAAAAACAAGAACTAACAGACGGTTTTTGGAGCGATGGCTTCCACCTATCTAATTTCTGGAAATAGGCTTCAGTACTAGACACACATGCAAACACACAGTATAGCACTGAGGACATTTTCATTGGCTAACAACACTTTAAACGGACTAGACTGTGTTTAAACCTGCTGTTTTTCTCCTCTGTTGCTGAGTTTACCACTAACTTTATTTTTATCTAAACTTCCTTACATATTTTTATTTATGTATTGTTTTTTAAGTTAAGACGAATCCAAAGGGAATTCTGTAAATCATGTGTAGTAATGACAATAAAGATCATCCATTCACTGAAAATCAAGCTTCACCGTTCACAGTCCAAATTTATCTTGGACTGTTCTGATAAAAGAATGCGCTCTCACTGTTCGTCAGGCTTCTTTTCATGCAGCACTCATCCTGCAATTTTGTACGGAAGAGCGAGCAAGGTTTTGGACACCGTCCATAGAGGTTGACAAACTCTCTGAGCTGTCACGGAAACTCTGTTGATAAGGCTTGTAACAAGACCGAGGCACTTGTTTCTCTGCATTTGAAAGTAGCTCACTGTCTGTGGCGTTAATTTAGGATGAGCACGTCTCTGTGCTTCTAATTAGTGATATTATTGCTTGCCATATAAGTCATGATTTCCACTGATATCTGGTTGCTCATTTTGGAACTATGTTCCTGCATGCATGCTAATTGTAAATCACAGGTATATTCCATTTTTATTTAATTTAATTTAATATATAAAAAAAAACCTTTCATATATTCTGTGTTTTAAGATGTAAAGTGAAATATTATATAAAAAAACAAAACCTTAATTTGATGATTTTAGCTTCTATCTCATGAAATTCTCAATTCTTATGGTCAGTCAAAATAGAGTCCCCTTCTATATAGTATGCTCATTGTCACTCATATTCGTTGGGGCTCCTTTACCATGAATTACTGTGTGAGTGCAGTGTAGCATGGCGGTGATCAGCTCGCGGCACCGCTGAGGTATCACTAAAGACCAGGTTTCTTTGATAGCGGCCTTCAGCTTGTCTGTATTTATTGGGCTGGGTGTTTCTCATCTTCGTCTTGACGGCGCCCCGTAAATTCTGTGTAGGGTTCAGGCCAGGTGAGATGGCTGATCAATTGAGCACAGAAATTACACGGTGAGCAAATTATTTGGTGGGAGTTTCTGCAGGAACAGGAAATCAGCCTTTATGCTTCATCCAGACTCTTAGATCTTGATTTACAAATAAAATCAATTTGCTGTCATGTTTGGGACAGTTGTAGCCCTTTTCCTGGTGGTGGTTTGATGCACCAGCCACAGTCAACGTTTCAAAGCTCTCCTACTTTCTTGATTCAATGGTTGTTGTTTTATTTGTTTGTTCGTTTGTTTTTTTTATATAACAATTGCTACAAAGCTGCTGACATCTAAGATGCTTGTGCACCTTTTCCTATCACACAGAGAAGGGTGATAGGAGCCAACTTTCCATTAATATGCTTGCAACCAGCCAGCCTTTTCAGCAGTTACCTTCAGCGGGGATTGTCATCTGGACAATTGTCCAGTCAGCAGTGTTTACCATGAGTGTGGTTGTGTTGGGGAACCAGACTGGGAGCAGCGTGGCATTTATACTGGTCGAATAGTCACTTAAAGTCTAAATGAAATATTTTAATACTGGAGTTCTGTTTTTCATGAGCTATAAGCTAAAATCAGAACTTTAGGTGCTGTAAATGTAGAATTGATGAAAATGACTTTTTTAAAATTAAAATTATGGAAGAAATTAATTTAAATATTTTAGATACACTAGTACTTGTCAGATTTATTTCTGATAGCTGATAGCTTTTGAATCATTTGACTTGCATGCCCACTTCTGTTCTGTGGAGTGAAATATGAAGCCAGATCCAGAATAGGCTAATAAAAATTAAAAAAAATAATGTTTTTCCTGTTTAGTCTGATTAAATGCTGCTTGGACCTTTTTGATCAAAGTCCCTTGAAAGGCTTGCAGTTGGTTCAGATGTTTCCTATGATTACTGCAGTTTTTATCCTAAACACATGCTTTTTTGTGTTAAATAAGCTCAGCGTTTATTATTATTTTCTGCTTATTTTTTGCTTGAAACATAAAAAAGTGTCATCCTCCAAAAAATGGGTATTACACTTATTATTCTCATTATAGACTTCAGTGGAACCCGAATTCGGTTTAATTAAAATGTTTGTGGTTTGATATTCTGATGTAACTGCTGGATAGATTGCCTTAAAATTTCATACGGATATTAATGAATACTCAAATGAAACGGTAAACTTTTTTTTAAATTTGTGGTAACTTTTCATCCCAGCACTTTGGTACTGACATCTGCCTGCATCTCAGCTCATTAAGGCAGTCAGGAGTGGGCTTTGAAACCCTTCATCTAAAAGACTCAACGCAGCAATAAGCCTCAGCGGATGCACCGCATGTTAATCAATAAGGCTCTGATGTTTCTCAGAAGGGAATCTCTGCTCTCTTCTTTTAGTCATTTGTGTCTTTTTGTCTTTCCTCTCATCGCTGCCTCCCTCCCATGACAGCCAACCAATGAAACAAGCTGCAATCTTTTCCTAAAGTCTATGATTAACATTTTTCTCTGCCTCATTTAAGTTTAAGGACAAATCCTTCACCCTTTAGCTTTGTCCTTAAACTCCTCTGGAACTCTTGCTCCTCTAATCCTATCTCTCCCTCTTTTACTGATCTTTCCCCCGGCAGCGTGCTGATATATCCTGTTTGTTCTCTTTTTCCTTTTTTTTTCTTCCTGTGACTATATCTTGTTTATTGTTTTGTGGGTTTTAATGTAATAGTGTGTACCTTTTCTTTCTAGTACTTTATACCAAGGACATCTTCTAACTCTGTCTCTCTTTGTTTGTCGCTTTCTCTCCCCGCCTGTCTCACCGTGTTGCAGGAGGAGCTGCGGGAGCTGAGGGAGCAGCCCATCGACCCCCAGGCGGAGCAGGAAATCATCGACAGCATCGAGGAGGTCTACTTCTCAAATGACTCCTTCGACATGGTGCAGCATGAACTGGAGGTCAGATACTCTGTATGATTTCCAGCTCTTGTGCTATTGACTGAATGAGCTCCACTCACTGGTTAAGCGATAACAAGCGAGACTCGCTTGCAAGTTCCCACGCCCCCTTTCATGAAATCATTTCATTAAATCCACCACGTTTCAGTAAGTTTGATAACAGAAGTATTGCATTTCTAATGTGAAGAAGTATTGTTTATTGTGCTCTGAACCCCGTCTGGCTGGCAAAAATAAAGCTTTTTTACCTGAGCTGCTGTTTCTTACATTTCTGCTGAGCCGCATGCATACAATTGACGTCTGGATTGATGGATTGCATCTGCTCAACAGAAGAAGGGTGTGAAATCTCATTAGATTTATCTTGGTATTTCTACACCATCTGAAATGAGACTCTCAGTCAAGGGGAAAGTAATTACCTATCATCCTTTGGGCCATGGATTTGTAATATCTTCTTTCAGTAGCAGAGTTTGTTTGCTGTTTACCTTCACTAATCAGAGTTATGATCTGGGGAAGTATATTTTAGTAGATTATTTTTGTTTGTTTTTCTTTTCTTTGAATGAAGTAAAAGCTACACCTACCTTCAGCTTAGGCTCTTTGAAATACCTCCTGAGGTAGCTTTAAAAATTAAGATGCTCGACAGTGAGGATTAGCTCTTGCAAGATGAATGAAATCCCCGCTTTGGCCCTTAGCACCTGAAATTTGATAGTGTCATAGTTCTGCTTTGAATATATTTTTCTGTCTGGCACACTGAGCGAGGACTCGTACTGTGTTAAAAGCCAGACGTGGTGGGAAGCAGCATGCGCTGGTATCCAAGTAAGCACAAGCAAAAAGACTGGATGCTATCAGCAGTCTAAAGAGGAGGTTTTGTAAGCAAACACTAAGGTTGCATGTTTGAATTTCTGTGTGTGTGTGATTATAGAAACTCCCGCCCGAGTTGAACCTGCAGGAGTTGGAGGAATACAGAGACAAACTTAAAAGGCAACAGGCAGCAGTAAGTATCTCTTTCCCTCTCTCTGTCTTTCATACAAACTCAAACCCGAAGGCACACAAACACAGTATGGTGTCAGACCATGTCAGTGTACGTTATGATCATTTCTGCCTCGTGCTTGTGAACATTTCTAATCTACAGATTGTTCTCTGTAACTTTTTCAAATCATCTTTTGTTTTTCATTTTATTGTTTTATTTGACATGGAAACCCCTAACTGTTTTTGTAGTTCTGCTGAAGGTGTAGCACGTGATTTTTTAAAAAAGAAAAAAAGTCCTTCCTGGAGCCATTTGTAAGTTAGTTGTCCAACTAATTGTTTTGCGCGCGTGCGCCTGTGTGTGTGTTAGGGCCTGTGTTAGTTGTGTAGTAATCAAAGTGAAAGTTAGAAACAGCAGAAGGTCTCGTGCTTTTATTTCTCACACTGTGCGGCTCTGCTCTCTGTCATTCTCTGGAGCCATAGCTGCTCGCTCATCCAGTGAATATAGCAGGTAGAAAGAGGGCACTGTTTCTGTGCCAGGAGAGCACGTTGTGAAGCAGTAGGGTACTGTAGATTGTCTTTATTTTCCAGGCCTTTTTTGAAAAAAGAAAGCAAAAATGGCTAAAGATAAAAAGTAGCTAGGTAACGGCAGTGAAGTGAACTCAAGCACGATGATCACTGTTCAGTTGAGGAATGTCAGACAAACAAATTGCCATGGTGTTTGAGTCTGCGTAAAAAATCGAATTGAATTTATATACAGATATAAAAACTTGAAACTAAATAGTTAACCAATACCCGAATGCCCAAATGGTCATAAATAGATAGTGACTGATTGTAATGAATTTGGGAATCTCCCTTTCAGTCTGTTTTTTAGTTGGGTTTTACCGTCTTTTGTCTTCAGTGCTGCCTTAATTATTAAAGGCACAGATTAAATATGATGCTGGAGACAGTCCTCAGAGATGTCGGTGCATATTAACCTGATAGCATCAGACAGTTGCTGCAGAATTGTTGGCTGCACATCCATGATGTCTTCCACCACATCCCAAAAATGCTCTGTTGGATTGCGATCTAGTGACTGTGGAGATCATTTGAGTGCTGTGAACTCACCGTTATGTTCTAGAAACCAGTTTGAAGTGATGTGAGTTTTGTGACATGGTGTGTTATCCTGCTGCAAGCAGCCATCAGAAGATAGGCGCACTGTGGTTGTAAAAGGATGCACATGGCCAGCAACCATACTCAGGCAGGCTGTGGCATTTAAACAACGCTTAGTGCGATTGGTACCGAGGGGCCGAAAGTGTGCCAAGAAATGATCCCTCACACCATTACACCACCAGTAGCCTGAGCTGTTAACACAAGCAGGATGGATCCACGTTTTCATGTTGTTTACACCAAATTCTGACCCTATGATCGAGACTCATCAAACCAAGCAACATTTTTTTCAGTCTGTGTGAATTTTAGCTTCAGTTTCCGGCTCTTATCTGACAGGAGTGGTACCCGGTGTCGTCCTTTGTTGCTGTAGCCCACCATCTTTAAGCTTGGATGTTGTTGTTACCATGCACTGACTTAAGTGTTGGAGAAAGTAGTTCACGATGCATTTTCTGCTAGTTTCTTTCTTTAAAAGTGTCAGTATGACACCTACACTACATAAAAAGCATGACAATAAAAGTTTGTTGGATGTCAAAAACCTCAGTTGACCCTGTCTCAAGGTCCAATTTATTAAGTTTTTACTGGAAAATAGAAGCAATAAAATTCGTTAAAGCCGACCTTGCTGGTTCACACTGTCGAAACACATTTTAAAATAATGATGTACTTGAAAAGAGAGTTTTCATTTATATAAAAGTGTTGAGTTTCTTCATTTGCCCCATTAAGTCATGGCAGGTTTTGCCGCACTGCTGTAATTTGCAGTTTGAGACCCATAGTCAGCACTGTGACGCTGAGAGTTTGTGCAGCTCTAGAGGAACGTAAACAGCCCAGAACACTTTTTACTTTTGTTTTTTGATGAGATGTTTTAAACTGCAAAGAAGGAATGAAACAAAAACACAAAAAAAACCAACAAATGCTCGATGCTGACGACGCTCAGTAAAAACTGAGTGAAGGTCAATCATTTTGTGCCATGACGTCAGTGCCTGCGTTTTCATCCTCAGCAAACTCATTTCCATAGCGGCTGCTCTGTTGAGGTTATTCAGGTACTCGCAGTTTCAGACGGGAGAGATGGCCTGTCAACAAATTCTATTTATAGCATCATGTGGCAGAGCAAGAAGCACTTTTTCCCTCTGCTTCTTCCATCCCCACAGTCCAGTGCAGATATTACCCTCCTACCTTCCACCCTGACAGGCTTCTGTACTTTTGCCCACTGCTTTGTCTCCATTGCTCCTTCAACTCTACTGCTATCCTTTTTTTTCACATCGATTTCCTCTATGACTCTTATCCCTCTTTTTCATGCATGCTGCGCTTCCCTCTTCTGACAGTAGCCCACAGAGCTGCCTGTTTAGTTAAGAGGATGCTTTAGACTTTCTGCCCCGTGGCATGGTGAGACCTGTACGTTTCTACAGTCTGAGTACACAAAAGCACCCTCACACATCCTCTCTCAGTCTCTCACGCTTTCTGTCTCTCGCACTTTCGCTCTCTCTCCCTGCCTCCCTGGCTTGCTGGCTGTCAGCCTGCAAGCACGTCGTGGGAATGGCCACAGTAATTGGTCCAGTGTACTGTCAGGCAGAAAATCCCCAGCTAAGTTTCTCAGCAAGCTCATCAAATGCAAATGTAAAATCCTGTGCCTACGAAAAGCCTTGACCTGTTTATCTGACTCAGTGGCCTGAGTATATTCAACATATCATTTAACCTTGTTTATTTTTAACTAGTTTAAAATCTCAGTTATGACTTTATTTAAGAGACAAGATAAAAGTATAAGAAAAACAGTTTACAGTTATCAGGATTTGCAAAATGCAATGAATCTATGTGAAAATGAATCGCTCAAAAGCTACTTAGAGTCAGTTTTTCTATTAAGGATATAAGACTGAGACGGTGGGTTATAGAGGTGTACAACATCTACTTAAAGAAAGGTTTTGTGCAGAAAAGTCTTAATTTCTCAGACAGACAAGCACCTCATCCTAAATGTGAGGCATGGGGGAGGAAGCATCGTGGTTTGGAGCTGCTTTGGCTCCTCAGAGGAAATCAAAAATGATTTCATATATTTTCAGAGGAGAATGTCAGGGCAGCAGACCTGAACCTTTAGAGAGGTTACGCTACCTGACAAAACAGAAATATAACAATGATGACAATGAAGTCATATTAATGAATGATGATTTTAACCCAACTGATATCCCCAACATACCAGGGATCTGTAAACTGTTCTGTAGAGAGGATTGACCCTGACATCCCCTCCGTCGTTGTGCCAGTCTCATTAACTTCTGATGGAGGTTGTTGCTCCTGATAGAGGTTCTATAAGTTATTAAATTCAAAAGTTCTGTTTCTAACAAATACCCTATTAATCATTTTGATAGGAAAAAAAGTAAAAGTCATTGTGGATTTAATACCTTTGCAGATATATGTATCCTTTACTATTCCTTTTAAGAATTAAGACAAATTCCTACACGGAAAATAGATAGATGGAAATCTCTTCCTACCTTACATGAATAATGATTATCTGTACTTTTTGGCTTTTTCTTTTTAATGTAATGTTAAAGCCATAAAAAGTGCACCTGTCAGTTCTAGTCTTGCTAAAGTTGTAGGAGGTTATTTGGCATTTTAAAACATGGAGCCAGTGCAATATTCGTCCATCTTGTTGGGTTAAAGAAACGAAACACTTTTTCAGTGGTAAATTAAGGTTGTTGGAGTATCGGGGTGTGTGTGTGATTGATTTCATGTTTTGATCTGGTTCAGTGTGGCGAGTTCAAAGACTTGTTTGGCAGTAAAATCGATGTTACCTTATGCAAATTAGATGCAAGCTTTGAAACATGCTGCCGGAGCACAGCTTAAAGGACTGCGTCATTTTCCACACTTTGGAAGAATTTCTGAGACAATGTACAGCAGAAGTTGCAAAGTTGTTCTGTGAAGTCATGCATATGCATGAACTTTGTGTTGTGGGTCTCTGCAGCCAATTTTGTTAAGACTATTTCTAAAGGTGGGCAGTGTGTGTGTGTGTGTGCACTCTCTGACTCTCCTAGTCACACGTGCACACGTCCATGCTCATGCAATCATCAGCATGTGAAATAGGGCATTGCACTTTGAAGGGGCGATAATAGTGCTTTTGAGATGTTCAGCATAAAGCTGTCCTGCGATGGCTGATACCGTGGATAGGCTCCACACCTTATTTATAACACTTGGCTGTAAGCTTAAGTGCGAGCTTGAGTTAGTGCGGAGCAGGGGGTCGAGTACAAGAGCTGAAAGTAACAGTACTGTACGGGTAACTGTGTTTGCCATTGACGCAGGAGATGTGTGAAGAACTGCTGCAGCGACTCTATTTATGTGAATGATCTGCTGCAGGGTGAAGCAAACTTTCTGTGGTTTCATGGGTGAGAACAACTGCCCCGTTCCTCTGCCACAGTGTCCAAGCTTAATTGGCATCTGTGACACGCAGCTGGCCCACAGAGGCTCGTCTCACAGCTAATTGCCTTTTCGTGCTGCGAGACTTCAGCCCATACGCAAAAATGTCAGGGTTCAGATATGTGATCTGCCGATGCTTTTTCTCATCATTTGAATGTAGCACACAAATGCTGAAAGGCCTTAATTAAAGTGGACGCTCATGCTTGCTCATACATCTAAGGCCTTCATCAAATCCTATCAAAAATTTGAAAAGTAATTCCTCCTCCAAATCAAGGCCTTGAAAGTTTGCAGTAACTTGTCAGTGTGTAATAAAGTACAAATATGCATGACCAGTGCTTAAAGAAACGGCTTAAATGTGGTACCATATAATTTTATATTGCTCTTCCCATCTATCTGAAAGTGGCTTGCTTTTTAGGAATGTAGGCAGAGTTGATATTAGCAATGCGAACGAACATTCTCCATTTTTAATGAAACATGAAAGCTTGAAATGAATTCCCCTCCTGCAGCACTTATGAATTCTGTTCCTCAGCTCAGTTTTTAAAATGTTGCCAGTCCCTGCCTTACTGCCTTATTGCTCTCCATGTGTGCATCAGGTTTTAGAGGTGTCCTGCTGTGGGAAAAAGGATGTTTCAGGTAGAGCATTAAAAGGACCGCAGATGGTTATAAAGCAGTTAGTGCTGTTTTTTGTTTTTTTTTTTAAAAAGAAAAAGACATTTGCCTCCATTTAGTAGCCTGACTGACAGAATACATTATAAAAGGCACTGAATGTGTTTGGAACAAAATCCATCTATAAGCAAGTGTCACTACATGACAACCATTCATTATTTTGGAGTAAGAAGCCCAAGTCCCTATTGAAATCAGTCAAATTGGGAAAAGAGACACAAATTTAGGTTCAGTTGTCATCAGGACCAAAAATAAAAACAAAACACTGTTTATCTGCTCAGTGGCCTGATTATATTCAGCATATAAGAGCTTAACACACTTAGTGTCTTTAACCCACGTTTAAAAGCTTGTTTCCCCTGCAGGTTATGCTCCTGCTGCTCAGAGATGGATCACGTTAAGGCTTCATTATTGGTTGAGTCCATCTAGCCAATGCAATAAACATGTCCAGCTCATTCTACAAAGCACTGAGCAAATGCTATGTATGCAGTTACACCGACTGTATAAAAAAGACGGATGTACCCTAGTGGTTTCTAGACTGAGCCTTTTTGGTAGTTTAATGACAGCATTTGAGATCTTACCGTGTTAGTTTTTTTTTAAGCAAAAAGTGTCGATATTTAGACCGGATGGCGAGGTGCTTGGTTATCTGCTAGTGTTTGCCAGTTTGTTTGGGCCTCGTCAGTTATTGGCACTTCCACCTTGCCTTCACTTTTCATACACTAGAGCAGTGGTGTCAAACATAAGCCCTGGGGCCCACAATCGGCCTTCAATCTTCAATCTGGACCATTGGATGGCTTTGAAAAACGTGAAGGGAGAGACCAGTTTTAGACTCTGAACTGTATTTTCACAACTTTTCCTGCCGATAATGAATTCCCCCATGGTCATGCACAATACACCAAAGTAATTAAATGATAAATTTCAGTAATTTTACACATTTAATACTTACAGTTTAAACCTCAAGAGTCATGCTGACAAGTTTCTTTCATTTACCAAAGCAGCGTTTCTTTATGTAGAAACACTGAGCTCCAAATGTTAAAATTGCTCTTCTTTGTCTTATATGAAGTCATTTCATTGATTAAATGTCTAGTTACACATCTTTACACTGACAGAGTTTTACCAGAGATCAAAGTGGGCTGTTTGTGGCTGGCGATGGAAAATAAATTTGACATCCCTGCCCTAGAGGTTGCCGCTTTTTAGGAATACAGGCTAAGAGAAACATTTTTGCAGCCATACAGAAGAAACAATTGTAAATCTGTCATGCGTCAGTGCCGTACCATGATTGGCTCCTGGTGTGGCTTTGATTAGCTCTTTAGCATCTTTTTCTCCTGTGAATTTTTTTTCACTGTTGTTTGGTATTTTTTGGGGGCGTATTGCTTGTGTGAGAGAGCAGGCTGCTTTCCACCCCCACCCATCCAAGGTTAAATATGGTTTTATAAGACTGAGAAACCCTCGCAGTTTATTTTACTTTAGCTAGCCTTAATCAGGAAACTGACTCATATGCCTCAACTATACAGCATTTGGTATAATTATCACGTGTTTGTATTTATCTGCAATACACTATATTTACTGTATTTTTAGTATACAGCTTTCTTTACAATGATTTGGTGTCTCTGTTAGCTTTTTCTAACAGAGTATGTATATGTGTGAGTTTCTGTGTAAACTCTCTGAACCTCATATGTTTATACCAGTTGTTGTTGTTATTATTATTATTCTACCACTATAAATGACGACCATGTTTATATGAGTTGATTATCATTCATTTTCGACCGCTAGATTTGGATAGTATTTACTCCAAGCACCGTTACTGCTTTGCAGCCCAGTTACTGCACAATTAACCTCCATTAGAGCAAGCTGAGATTTTATGACTCTGGCCTTGTGGCTTAGGTAGGAGGGTTTGGGTACTCATAGCTGTTTTTCATTCAACAAAAAAATAGAAAGAAGTTTAGAATTGAATCAGTGAAATGCCAATAGGTGGCGTTATAGCATTATTTTGGGATAGGTTCGTGAGTGGTTAAGGGGGTTATTCTGGGCTCACATTAATACGTTACCTCACTGTTTTCTGTGTCTCCACCATTTTCTTGCCACATTTGTTGCGCCTCTTCTGAGTACTGAATAATTTTTCCTTGGTGAACAATTTATGCATACATTTAAATCTTAATAGAGGCACACACACACACACACACACATGCACACACATGCTTTAACCCTGCTGAAGGAGCCGCTTCAGCTGAGCTGCGTTTCCCATCTGTTCAGGTCTCCGGTTTGCTACCACGCATACTTAACACACTTTGAAATGTCATCCCCACCCATAGCCTCATCTGCCGCGTATCAGCACATACAAAAACCTCCTCGCTACCTCGACTACTCGTGCTTATTCTCTTCTCCTGTAAAACTCCACTTGGTGCGTGCTGGCTTATGTAGTTGCACGGTAAATGGAAGAGAGGTTGCTTACTGTGAGTGGGAGAGAGATTGGTTGGGTGCTGCATAAGCGATTGTCCTTTGCTGTTATAATGAGCAGCAGTATTAAGAGATCATGTATCTGTAGTCAGGTTTTAAAAAAAATCCAAAGTTAAGTTGCTTAGTATTGAAATTACTGCTTTTTTTTGTAAACGTGTTGCTGGATAAATTTCTTGTAGCACGTTGTTGGATGATATCCTGTGACACCTATGACATCTTGAGCTCGGAGAGAGCACGTGCTACAAACTGGGGGCATGGAGTTCAAAACATGTGGTGCTTAACAGCGATAGTCATGCACATACACTCCTTAATGCTTGAAAATATTTAATTGAAGGCATTTTGACAACTAAACAGGATAAATAAACTTGAGTGGACCCCACCTTGTTCATTCAGTGTGACCTTGTTTGTCTGATCCTTCAGTGTGGATGAAGCTATTCATTTTCCATTGGCCTGCTGTGTTCCTCACTTTTTCCCCTTTCTCCACTAAAAGTTGTGATGGGCGTCACACGTAGCAGAGGTGGGTCAGCCTGATCTCATGACCTCCTTTAATGCTGTGTTTTGTACCATATGGGTGCAAGCTTTTTCAGTAATTACAGTTTCACCTTAGCTGTAAATCAAAGGCATACAGAGGGGAACACAAGAAATCACAAAGGGAAATGAGGAAAGGGAGAGTTCTCTCAGAGAAACAAGAGTTACGTTATTGAGAAGGACGATGAATGAAATGAAACGGAGAATGCGAGACACTCCCTTTAAAAGGATTCAGCTGCGTAGAGCCAGAGATGCAGACATCCCTGATTGTTATTCTCAGCCCAACCTCAATAGCGAGATTGCGTGGCCTAAACAGTTTCTGTGGGGTGACATTTGGGAAGAACATCAAAAAGTCTTCATTCATTCTTCTTTTTTTCATTTTTTAAATTCTACTTTTCACGTTTATCGTCTCTTTCTTTGTCTTCAGGTTTCCAAAAAGGTCGCCGATCTCATTCTGGAGAAACAGCCTGCTTATGTGAAGGTAAGCCTCCAGTGTAGGCTCAAAACCACGCTGAATAACGTGCTCTGTATTCCAGCTCCTGACGTTTAATTCCAAAACACATCAGTCACTGTTTAAAGTGACGTCTTTTCTCAGCCTATGAGATGCGATAATTGGACGTAGTTATTTTGACGCTGTGGGGTTGTCAGTAGATGTGTTTCTGTGAATGTGTCATCTAAATACGCCAGCAACGATGATGACTGAATTTTGGTAACCATGGCAATAAGAAATCTAAATCCATTCACGGATAAAGAAAACGGAGGGGGGAGCATTCTAGTTTTAATGCAGAACGTAGTTGGGATGTGAATGAAAACTTAAGTCTATAAAACCCCTTCTTTGGTCACCTAGTGATGAAGGTCCTCCTATAAAGACGCAAACCGGGGGCGTCCTGGTTTGCGTGGGGTGGGTTCCATGTGATGGCAATCTTAGGCAATCGATGTGGGGGTTGACATAGAACAAGACCTCCAAAGCGCACACGCTGGTCAGTCACAATGTCCTGGAGGGGACGTGTGGCAGTTTGACGATGTACTTGACCCCCGGGATCCGTCTTAGCCATCGCTGCTGGGCCACATTGAGTCTTTTGGCGATTCTGGCTGATGCTTTCCACGTCTCACAAACGTAGATCGCGGTAGGTATAACGATGGAGTTGAGCAGTTGAATCTTCGTCGCCAGAACGATCTTTCAAAGTGTGCTTACGGATCAGTGGAAAGAAGACCAAGGTCATGAGGATAGGCTATGTGACAACACAGGACCCCATTATGGTAGGATTGCAACCACTGGAGGAAGTGAATCAGTTCACCTACCTGGGCAGCATCCTGGCAAGTGAAGAAGGCAGAGCTGGCTGTCAACTAATCGAAAGGTCAGCGGTTTGATCCCCAGCTCCTCTAGGCCACACATCAAGATAGCCTTGGGCAAGATACAAAACACCCAATTGATTGTGTATTATAGATAAAAGTAAATATTAATATAAAACTTAAAAGCCAGTTGAAATCATTGTCAATACGTCTATCTCTTAAATAGCCTCGGTTTCTAGCATGTGTCAAAATCAGTGTTTTCACTGAGGTTATCTTGTTTTCAGATGTTTGGTATGGTCAAGTATATTTATATAGCACATTTAAAACAGAGTTGACAAATGTGCTGTATATTAAAAGTATTTAGCCCAAAGAGAAAAATTGGACTAAAACTCCAGAAAAAATGAACACAGTACTCAAATATGCAGTCGCAGGGAATACCAAGCATTTATCCTGGCCAAACAGCAGATGACTGACAGCTTTACTGTGCTATCTAGTGAAACTGGACTGAGATCACTGGCATTGTGAAGCCATCTGAAGGTCGGCCTATGAATAGTAAATTGATCATTATTTTCGCAACCCTCCCTGTGACTCTGCAAAGTCACGATAACAGCAGAGTTTATTAGCAGACACTGGCAGAGGTTTCAGTGCAGCGTTTCCATTCACCCATCCCAACTCACATTCAGTCAGCCTACAGCCCTCTGGATTTTTCAGGGAGATTCCATATTCACCACCTGAACATCATAAAGCGAAGGATGATGGGGTTCTAGTCTCAGTCAGAAAGATTCGGAGACTAATATAAGCCATCGTGCTGGTCTCTTAATTTACTTATATCTTAAAGTATCTACACTACAATAGGAACAGAGGTTTCTCTCCTGTGTTCTTGAACGTTTTTCTTAATTTTTTTTCCTCTCGTGTGATATTTCATCAAAAATGTTGCACAGAAACACACAACCTAAGGGTACAATGCCACTACTCCCCAGCGCTTGCTGTGTGCAAGACATCAAAGGGCACACAAATTGCACAGACACGTACGCTCATGCCTCAGTGCTTGAAATGAAGGGCTGATAAGCTCGTGATGTGATTCATAGCTATATAGTGACTAACATCTCTCACTGCTATTGGTGTCCTCCAGCGACACATGGCCTCCGCTTGCACTCGAATGTAATATGGCTTCTTCTTCGTGTTGACGGATACTTGGACAGCCAAGCCAATATCACTAATTCATGCGTTTGTAATTCTTTCATAGTGTTTTTTTTTTTTTTTTTTTTTTTTGTTAATATGCTCAGATTTTCCTGCAATGTTTTTTTTTCCTTTATTCTTTGTGCAGATATAACATTTTCTGTGAGGTCAAGGTGTTTCCAATTAAATTGCTATATTGATAAAACGGGCTGCCGGGTGGTTTGAAATAAGTGCCCGCTCTTATCTCGTCAGCTTTAAACAGTTTTGGATTGAGTGGCCAAACTGCATGACCCTTAGGCTTGTCAGGAAGGGGAGATTACTTTGCTGCAAACCTGGCTGTAATAAATCTGCAGGTAGCCCTGACCAGGTCACTCAGCACTGCTGCAAACAAATGGATTACACTGGTAGTCCGTCATTTTCCTCTGGAACCACTTATTTATCAAAATTACTGTTTTCTCTTCTTTGTTTTTGCCTTTACTTCCAATTCCCTTGAAGATTTGTAATTTACCCAAGTCTGATGGTCTTACTGTGGGCTTCTTCCACTGGCAGGACTAGAATTTGGTAAGAAATATATCTGCCAGCAGGATTAGTGTCTCTAGAAATCTGCAGGTATGGTCACATACCCTTTAGATAATCATGTGTGAATGTGGAGCTGTGTGAGCCTGCACTTATATTTCCTAACTTTGCTTCCCAGTGACCTTAATACTACAAAGTGAACCGGTCCAGGCCAAAAACAGCAGCATCATTAGGATGTATAAGCAGGATAGGTAACGCTGAGCCAGTGCGAAGTCAGTGTGCGTGCTGGTGGTGGGGGTCACAGAATAACCTCTTACGAATATATGAATAGAGAAGCTTTGGAAAAATATCCCTTGTGACTAACTACCTCCTTCTCCTTAACCTTTGCTACCGACACCCACAGAGCTGTGTTTGTGGATGCCGTTGTAGTCAGACCGTATGGTGTGACTGCATTAGAGTCATCTCACTTTTCCTGTTTATGTACAGTACATAGAAATCTACAGTAAAACATGTTTTTTCCCCCTTCCATTCAAACCAGCTGTGCAACCTTTTTTTATCTATTAAAACCTGCCCGGCCATTTGTCAGAGCCCACCACTGTGCACAGTTAGTGCATCTCCTCTTGCACAAGCTAAGCTGATTGAGCCCTCTGTCAGGTTAAGTGTAGCTTACAGATAAGGTAGACAGCTCGGAGCTGTGGTGTAACAACAAATTGGAGCCTCGGGCTACATACTGAGCGCTCATTGTGTGGAGTGTGCGTGTGTGTGTGTGTGTCTGAAAAAGTATGTGTGTTTCTGGTTGAACCTGTATGTGTGAGCATTCAAGCTGTCTTTGTGCTTCCCCGTGTAATCCACAGGTAACAGAATGCATCAGCACCTTTGTACTAGCTCACTGTGGCATTTGTTTAACTGCAATAACTGTTGAGTGCGGTATTACTTTATCTTGATAATGATCACCAATATATGGCATAGAGGATGGTAGATACTGGAACACAGGTGATTAGGGTTCATGGGTTCATCATTGACCTGATTTTCCAACAAGTGCACATATCCTGTTATTATATAGACAGTGTATTTTAACTTGCCATTATCTTTGGGAGTAAAAAGAGAGATTTTAGCTGTGAGAGTGATGTCTGTAACTGAAACTGCACGATCCCCTTCGGTGTGAAAATTCGGATGAGTCTGGCTTCAATAAATGTTGCTTACGGTTGTTCGCCTGCGCTGCTCCCAGCGCATGAATCTATTTGTTCCAGTCAGTTTTTCAGTTACACCTGAGGTAAACCTGCTGAGTCATCCAAATCCCAGCTCATTCCTACATCTTAGGGCAAGTTCTGAGGACATATTTTAAAGTATAACCGAATTACACGCAAATGCTACACTGGTACCTGCTATTTTTAACCTGCTGCTTATGAATTTATCATTAAGAAATACTCAGATACTTGGTGACTCATACATGTTTGAGAATAAAGATCAGAGAAATCAGCGTTAGTGTTATAATGAGCTTAAATTTTTTTTTGCTTTACTGAAAAAAACTAAATTTTAGTTGAATTTTTTATAATGTTGGGTATTGCAGTACCTGGCACTAATGGTATTATCACAACCAAACACTGATCATGTATGGTTTAATTGGATTGGCTGAGAAACACTAGAATGCAATGGAAAAAGACAAAAAGCTCTTATTAAGACTTTCCTGGCACCTACACACCAAATTTGATACAATACATTGTAACAGCTCTGGCTTGAAGCTTCTACATTTTCAGTTATTGTTGATTTTTGTCAACGAGGTGATAATGTTACTGTATGCTGATTGTTGAGGGCTCTGTGGATGGTGGAAGTGCACTGGACTTTAAAAGTCCACTGTTGGCCTCGGCATGGATTTAATTTTCATAGAAATGTTCAAAATACACTTTTTTAGTATTTATATGCTGACACATGAATGGTGTCTTATATTCATCCAGAAAAACATCCATATCACATGGTGTACGTACCCTTAAGAGAAACCTCTGACTATTACATGAGCCCTTGCAAAGTGTTATGAGGACTTGACAAGGTCTTTGTCAACACTCAAGATCATAAGGGCAGATCTGTTTGAATCGGCTTATTGTTCTCGTACCCACAGCTGAAGTGCCTCTTTGGTGTTGTTGGTTTATTTTTAATGACCGTGGAAAATTGAATTTCCCTGGATTATATTCCATTGGTAAAAGGTTGTTTTTTGCCTGACAGTGTTATGAGGATTTTTCTTTTTGCCAACACTGGACCTTTCTTGTGGAAAAGTAATACAGCATTATAAAAGAGGATCAAACAACAAGCTTCTCCCACCTCAGGCATGACATCTGGCAGATAAAAAAAAAAAAAAAAAAGATAAAAGCACAAAGAAGACAAGGAAAGTCAAAAATACGACAGTAAGCTGTTTGTCCGTTGGCCCTGTATTGGCTAAGGGTGTGCTTGTTCTCAGCCGAGGTCATTCAAGTGGCATAATAACTGCACTCTCGGAGCAAAGTGCTCATTGATCCTTTTCTAAATGTCAACACCGAAGGGAAGGAAGACATTCTCTGATTTTTCTCTGTTTTGAAAGTTATTCTCCTAAACTGTGGTATACTTTGGCTCTGATAAATTTCTTACAATAAGAACATCATTTGTGTTATCTGTCTGTTTGCAACAGAATGTAGATGGAATTTGCTGTTATGTCTTTATGTGCTGGATGGGGGAAGTGATTGTTGTATAGAAAGTATCATAACTGAGCAAGTGTGGTGATGTCTTTATGTCGGTGAGCTTTCAGAACTTTTGTCCAACAATAAACCATCTTGCAATGGGACTACACCAGCCATGATGTCTCTGAGTTCTTAAAGGCTCATGTTAAGGTTCACATCGACATCTTGTTTGGTTGTAATGCTCTCATCTTGAATGCCTACCTGCTGCAGGTGTTGTCTCCATGTTTTTTCATACTGTTGAACAGACAAACAGAGTGAAAAAGGGTGAAAATAAATACCAGCTACAGTGTCACATCTGGTAATAACCCATTTCATTCTAAAGTCTTTTCTTAAAGCACTTAAAGGCATAGTATGTTGCTCTCTCTCTTCTTACCATCTCATTTCTTATTTACAGGAGCTAGAGAGAGTGACGGCGTTACAGACCAACCTGCAGCTGGCAGCAGTCATTTGCACTAATGCAAGGAGGTAATTGCGTTCTGTTACATATCATCTATTCTGAGAAACCTACTCAAACAGCTCATTCAAAGTGCATCTGCATATTAAGTGCTTTCCTCATAACCATAATGGCTTTCATTCAGATATTCTCAGTCTGTTGATGTGGTCACATTTGAGAAATATTTTTGTCTTGTTGTCTTAAAATAAAGTAGCTGTCCAAAACCTGCCACCACACATGATCTGTTCTTTGTTTGTTCGAGCCGCTATGTGGTTTGTGTGGGTGGTATAAGACAAAGCTTTATGCTGCCAATTCCTGAAGGTTTCGATGGACATGTAGCATACAATGCTATGTAACAGTTTCTTTTTATAATAAAGTGTAGATGGACAAGATGTGTTGGGGAAATGGCATCAAAGGTCTTACAGGGCTGGATTGAATCATATGGTTACCCTACCCCTGTCACTCTTTTTAAATTTAAATAATAGACTCTTGTTTCATGGTTATTCCTTTTGAAAGCTCAGATACTCAATTATTTCAGTGATTTGTATAAATAGAAAAAGTCATCTTCAGGTACAAAAGTCTAGGGTCACCTCTTATTTTATTATATTTTACTTCCAGGGTGCCAGAACTTCCTGTTTTTCTTGGCTGCTTGACATTGGCTGCTTTTTCACTCATTTTCAGTCCAGTCCTTTTACCTAACCGTTTTTGGAGTCTCCCTTTTTTTGTTTTTGTTTGTTTGTTCATGAAGCTATTTAGCACTGACCTGAATCACTCAAGCATAAAAACGCTTAAGCGATGAACCAGTGCTGTGTCTAGACATAACCAACGACTTAATAAAGAACCAATTATACATTGTATCTTTAAGCAATTTGTTAGTGGCTTATTTCTTGAATTTAGTCAAAAATATTGCCAAAGGTATAAAATAGTATTTTTGCACCAATAATTCCCAAGGAGCTGTTAGCTGAGAACTTGGCATGTGTCAGCACTGTGTGCTGTGCCCCCTTAATAAGTTAGAGGGAATGGGACAAGTGAAGGACAAAAGAAGAGGTGTGAGGAATAAACTTACTATCTACAGAAAATAAACAGTATATGAAAGTCAGGAAAGGCAAAGGCTTGACAATGGGACCTGAGAGATGCATCTCGCCTTTCAGTTAATCCATCTGCTGTTCACTGAAGCCTCATCAGAAATGGTCTCAGTGGAAGGACGGCTGTCAAGAGGCCATTCTTAAGAAAGGGAAACAAGGAAAAAAGGCTGATCTATGTCAAATTACACAAGACCTGGACTCAAAATCAGTGTCAACAGATGTTATGGAGTGATGAATACAAATGAGACAGTTTTGGTTCAAATTGTTGCCATTAAGTATGTAGGAGGTCACGAGAGAGGTACTATCTATAGAGGTGTCATAGTTTTGGCTGCATTTCAGCCAGCAGTGATTTGGGACCTTGTCAGATTTTATGGAATTATGAGTTATAAGCTTAGACCTCAAGATCTTTACTCAGCACTGAAAGCATAACAAAATAATGGTGCATTCATCTATTACTCTTAAAGTCTACTACTACCTGGGCTATGGTTCTGTGTGTATATATCTTCTCTTGTGCTGCTTACCGTCTTGTTTTTGACCTCTGAATACTTGGTAACATTGACCTGAGACTTCTTCTGCGAAGGCAACTGAGTGTGGCAAAGGAGGGATTCACCGAGGCCAGCCTCGGTCTCCTGGCCAATCAGAGAAGGCGACAACTGCTAACAGGCCTGCTCAAGTCTCTGAGGACCATCAAGACCCTGGTAAAGTTAACTCACATGGTTTACTATGCAGCTTTTTTTGGGGGGGGGGGGGAGACCAGGGAGCAACCACGGAGCAACCACAAGTTTCTGTGTTTCAGCAGCTGCTAACAAGCACTACATGTTAACAGTGATGTATTGACCAGTGAGCATGGAATAGACTATCAATGAATTTAAGTGACTTCGCTGTTGTAGTTGAATATATCTGTGGTTGGGTAATGAGTTGAGCTCATGTCACCTTTGAAGGGGGCAACGAGGTGCCTTAACAAACATGAAGTTTCAGGTGTATATGTGGAGAGGGTGCTTTGCGCTCGCATATTTAGGTGCTCAAATTGCATCCTACATACAAAAAGTTGAGCTCGACTTCTAATCATTCTTCAACAATTCAACAATTCTCAGTATCACACATCAGTGATCTTTAATTGGTTCTTGAGGTCATCCTGCAAGGATTCATTCTGTTGTTTTGGTTAATTCAACTTTCAACATTGTAAATTCTGACTTTTGTCTTGGTGCTGTCCTTTGAATTACTCTAGTAATGAATACATTTTTCTGTGCACTATTTTCTTTCTACTCTTTTTATTTATTAATGTGTATTGGTTGACCTGCAAAATCATTTAAGTATGATGTAGTCCTCTGATTCTGACTGACCTACATCGCTCTGAAATAACTTCATAAACACAGTGTGATGTTACTGTTAACAAATAAATGCAGTCTTCAGTAATCACTGCAACAGTTTCTCTGCACATGATTTAAAATTAAGCTGGGAGTTAATCAGACATGCTCTCTTTTAATCACTTTAATCATTTGCTCACACTGTAATCAGAAAAATATGCTGCCAACATGATCACAGCAGGAAAGCGCAGAGCAAGTTTGAATAGATTATTAGTTCGTATTGTGTCCTCTTAGGTATTTGATGCTGTATTCATGTGTTTTTCTGCTTGTCATTGCTCCCCCTCACAGCAAAGAACAGATGTAAGACTCAGCGAGATGCTTGAGGTATAGTAATCCCTACACACACACACACACACACACACACACACACACACACACACACACACACACACACACACACACACACACACACACACACACACACACGCTCTGTGTTATTAATTGACAGTAAAAGGTCAAACATCAGTGGGGATTCAACATTGAAAGCAAAACCCACACAAACATGAGAGACAAATACAAATCTATATGTGCTGTTAAGGTCAGCAGTACAGTATATGGAATAGATTTCACTGCCACTGTGTGTAATCCTTGGTTATTTGCAGAGTACCTGCTGTTATAAGCATTTTAAGAAAATTGTAGTATTAGACTGGATCCATCATCCACAGCTTTCACCTGGTGTGATTATGGACTAGTTTTTCCATTAAGCCACACTGAAAATCCTATATTTTTGTGTCATGTAACATGCATTAAACATTATAACTCCTCTGGTTCTTTAGGAGGAAGATTATCCAGGTGCAATCCAGCTGTGTCTGGAATGTCAGAAGGCCGCCAGCACCTTTAAACACTACAGCTGCATCAGGTAGAGTACGAGCAGATTGATAGAGTGATATGTTACCGTATCCAGCGGGAGTAGGCATCGACTTCATTTTTCTGTCTGGAAAATATTTTGTTATGAATATGATTTTCATGAGTTATGCTGTTGTTTTACATCTTCCATTGTCAATTCTTATTTGGGGTAGAAGAAATTTAGAGATTGACCTGATTTTAAAATATTGATTGGTTTCTCTTGAAATGTGTCTTTTTTTTCATGGCTGGAATCGAATTGCTCTGGTGTAAGACGTAGCATTAACAGGGCTTGTTATGTCCCCTTGTTTGCATTAGGTGTGATATCACAGTAGTTTCTAAAAGTTTTAACCCTCCAAAGACATTATTAGTGCGCTGATATTTCAATCTGAACCAGAACATCTTTACTTCAGCCACAGTTTTCTTTTTAAACATTTGGTTTGGTGTTTTTGGCGAGCTTTAATTCTGAAGTCCTCAGATTGGAAAACACATATTACCAGTTACAGGCAGGAAGCGTGAAGGTTGTGCCACAGAGATAGTTAGACTGGAAAAACTTATCAGAGGTGGTGACAAATGTAAAGCAATGAGTAGCTTCTTTATTTTTACGCTCTCCTTTTTTTTAAATGTAAGAGTGAGATTTGAAAAGCTTTAGGGATGATTGATGCAGAGAAAACGGGAAATATAGTGAATACTTGACGGTTTGTAGCTGGGTGTTCAGACCTTTTTATGCATTGACAGATTGATCCGGGATGCCAGAGAGATGAATAATGATCATCTCCACCCATTTCACCTGCCCACGGATCCATCTTTTTGTTTTCCTTTTTAGTCAGTTTCTTGACAGTCACGGCTAATGGCTGTCCCTCCCTGAGCCTGGTTCTGCTGGAGTTTTCTTCCTGCTAAAAGGGAGTTTTTCCTTCCCACTTTGGCTGGTTTTCTTTGTATTATTGTAGGGTATTTAAATTTGGTGCCCTATACATAAAATGGAATTGAACTGAAAAATTGTGTCTGTAAATTGTATTACGGGACACTGTGTTCCTAACAGCCTGTTGCAAAACACATAATTTCTTTAGATTGTCAAAGATAACACAGTTTGATAGATATAAAAGATTATTTTTTTGAACCATGGAGGTTCAACATGTCAGGCCAAAAAAAATCCCCCCAAAATAACTACATACAACAGAGGGACAGTATCTGAAAGACATATCGTTAAGGAACAGAAAAAAAATGCAGTGAAAGATTCCCATTGCCTTTGCAAACATGCACATGCAGATTTTATTTTATATCCCACAATGTCTTAACACAGTGGAGCAGAAAACAAAGGCAGCCTCGTTGTGATGCCAGAATGACAACCTGACTGTTGGGAAATGGTGATCAATAAGGCGGCGTTATGCAGAAGGGATTGTTTTGGTGTGGAAAAATCCTCCCACTGTCCCCTCCCGCCTGCAGCTGCCGCCTATGCATGTAGCTATCACCCCTGTTTCCACCGTCATTAATTTATCATCATTGCAGTTTCATTTCGAAAGTGATGCTCTTTAAATGTGCTCGACTGTGGGTGCGTGGATTAGACCTTGCACCATTTGCCACCAGTGTCAACACCCACCACAAGAAGCCTATCAGTGCAGTAACTTGTTTGTGATCATCGTAAAACTTGTTCTAGCAGTGGAAGTTTGCTTGCTCTTCACACTCGTGCTGTTTTTTAAATTCTTCCACTGTTTCTTCCTCCTCAGTGGATGCAGTTTATAACATGGGTACACTGATTACACATCTGTCATGCTGCGCAGTAACAAACTGCACTTTCTGTCCATACCCCTTAGGCGGCCCGTTGCCCGTCTGCTACACTTCCATTTAACCTTGTAGCGATGCTTTTCCATTGATTGCTGAAGGTTGTACATTTGTCATGCCCACTCTTCGTTTGACTCCATTTGTTCCTTACCCTTTAAAAGTCAATATCGTCTGCCCATGAAGGTACTTAAACGGCTGTCTTGGTCCATTTTCTTCAGGCAGCTTAAGGACCCCATGTGTCCAGCATTGTATTCACGAAATGTGAACTCCGCTGTGATCTTAGAATTACAAAGGCGGTGTCTAGTCTGAGCTTGTGTGTGTGTTTTCTTCTGTCAAAGTAAAATTATTGGACTATTACACAATTAAGGTATGTCGTGCATATAATTATAAATGCCTGCTGCCATCATGATTCTGCAGAAATAGAAAGATTGTGCTAGATGTGTTTGTTTTATTGTGCAGGAGAAGTACAGCTCAGCATGTGAACAGTTTAGAGCAGCCTGCCCAACATCAGCAAGCAAGCGTCACGAGTAATAGTGTGTCACTTGAATTTGTGTTTTCTTGCTATGCTTTAGAGATCATGATAAAGGGGTAACCCCACCCCCTACCCCCCGAGCATATTCAGAGTCAGCTCAGTTTCTTTGGTCCGATGGATGTTTTTTGGGGGTTTTTTTTGTAGTTTCCCTGCCCATTTCTGTATTTGTGGCTTGTTACTTTTTCTGGTGCTTTATAAGTTTGGAAGGAAGATGATAAAGGCGACCAACCCCGTTCCCTTACTGACAAGACTTGACACCTTAATATGTACCAATAACGATGTCTGGATTTGTCCAAGGGTGTCCATAGTAACCTGTGTAGGCGGAGATCACTCGGACTTCTGACGTACACGTAGTCATTTTGTTCTGGATGCCTGAAATATGACAGAAACCACTCAGTTTCCACTAGGTTACCCCTAGTAGGCATCCAAGGGGGAAAGAAGTAACATTTTCATTGATTTGTAGCTTGCCCTTTCCAATAATAAGCAGAAAGTATCGATCGTGTCTTAATTTCTCCAGCAAACCAGTTTTAGTGAGACATGTTGTCTCTCTTTAATATTTGGATCTAACTGGGTTTTGATGTTAGCTGCTGTACTAAATACTCAGTTTATCAGATTAATCAGAGCGTATGCATCTGTATCCAAGGTTTGCATAAGTTTTAGTCCGGAAAACAAAGTAATAAATTAACAAAAAGCAAAATAAAAAAGGAAAGTGACTCAGAAATCTGATAAAATTTACAAGCGTTACTGAATAATCCATTACATTGTATCAGCTTTTGGTGTTACCTTGGAGCCAGCAAGTCATAATAGTACCTATGCAGAACTCCAATAAAGACATTAGTTGCAAATACCTCAGGAAATATTACATAAAATCTTGTACCTGAAAAAAATAGTAAAACAAGCTAAGCACATTCTAACAGTCTGACAGGATCAATTTCCCCCGCTGCTTTTCTTTCTAAACTCTTTTATCTTTAAACTGATTCCTACTTACCCTCTTCTCTTTTAGCTTTCCACAAACCTCAGCTGCTTTCTGTCTGGCATAATTCTAGCAACTGCCATCCCCTCTCCCCCATCTTTCACTCTTCCAAGGTCTTTCCCTGCTTCTTTGTTGCCTTTCTACCTGTGTTGTGCAGTGGCTATTATAACTCCAGCAAAAATGTCACTCTCACAAAATCTGAGGATCCTGCAGATCCTTGAAAGCACAACACACATCATCTGTTTTAGTGAGTCATCAAGTCAGTGTGAAGAAACTAGCCCCAAGGCTCTATGGACACCTTTCGCCAGTTATTCGTGAAAATGGGGTGAAAAAACCCTCCTAAATTCCATCAAACTATGTTTCAATGCTTGTTTTCCCTGCGGGGAACAGATTGCTAATTAGGTTTTTCCTGCTAATCTGTTATTTATGCATTCTGTCTGATCAGCGATGACTGCCAGTATATAGGGAGGAGCTGCATCTGTGCATTAAACCGTATGTACTGGACAGTGACGCATACAGAGGAGAAGGACTGAACAGCAGTAGGTGATTGGCTCTCATTGACTTCTTGTAGATCTCAACAACCAAGAGGTCGAAAATTTTGTGCCAAGTGTGCTTAAGTTAGGCTTAGAAACTCATTTAAGGCTTCAGTAATGTATGATTAAATCAGCCACTTTAGCTCACTGGATATCATGCATTCTGTGTAGATGTATTATTAAAAGTGCAGGTGAGTCCACTGCTGTAAACTAAACCAAAAGACTAAAAAATGACCTAACTGCTGTTCAGGAATTACAGCCATTTCTTTACATGTACTCCCTCATTTTTAGAGTTTTAAACTGAAATGGACAAAATAATTGAATTTTAAATACAAGGATTATTTTTAATACTTGGGTAAAAAATGTAGTCTGTGACTGCTTGAAGTCTTGAACTCATGGACATCACCAAATGCTGTGTTTCCTCACGTGGGATGCTCCGCCAGGCCATAGCTGCTTTTTTATGGGTCTCTCTGCTTTCAGGTTTGTCTTCAGTAACTGAAAAGCTGCTTTATTGGGTTGAGATCAGGTGACCATCACATTCTTTGCTTTGAGAAACTCTTAGGTTGCCTTTGCTGTTTGCTTTGGATATCCACTTGCGCTGTGAAGCACTGAGTTTTGCAGTATTTGGCTGAATATGAGCAGAGAGCATAGCCCTGTCCACTTCACAATTCATTGCTTCTTCTATCAGCAGTCACTTCATCTATAAACACCAGTGACCTGGGTCCACTGGCAGCCATACATGTTTGATAGATGATGTTTTATACTTTGGATCAGGAGCTGTTTCTCTCCTTTTCCATAATTTTCTCTTTCCATCATTCTGGTGGAAGTTCATCATGGTTTCATTTGTTCAGATAATTTTTTCCGGACTGTCCAGACTCTTTTAGATGTTTTCTGGCAAATGTTAATCTAACCTTCCTGTTCTTGTTTAACAACTGCACGTTGCTACATTTATATTCATGAAGGCGCCTCTTGGTTGTAGACCTTGATAATGATGCACCTACCTCTTTGACAGTATTCCTTACTCGGATGGATGTTGTGAAAGGAAACGATTTGAGCTTGTCCTCTTTTTAAGAATACACTAGATTGTGGATTTGGCTACTCCTAATGTTTTTGCTGTCTCTCTCAAAGGTTTATTTAGTAAATGGAGGCCTCCTTCACTTGTACTAACATGTCTTTCAACCTTATATCAAGAGTTCCTGTGAACAGCTACGAAATGCAAGTTCAACACTTGGGATCAACTCCAGATCTTTTATCTGCCTAATTTGTCTTAATGTAGTGAGATAACCTGGCCAAGAAACCTGTGTGTCAGTCAGCTTTCTAGCTACTTTAAAGCCTCTGAAAATGGGGAGCTATGTATAAAAATAGCTGTAATTTTTAAACAGTTAATGCACTATCCTTTAAAAACCCTTTGAATCAAAGCTGAAAGTCTGCACTTCAGTCAGATATTGATTATTTGATTTAAATGTGGTGTGCAGAGGCAAAATCTACTAAAATTGTCTTTGTCCAAAAACTTGGACAAACTTGCAGAAGTTTGCAGCTAGCAAGGTAGACAGCCAAGGTACACACTGAAAACAGCTTCTGTGTTTGGTGATATTTGAGGTCTGCCACTAAAGAAAAAAGCAACCGAGGTTGTGCTCGCGTCAGCCTACACTGCTAATGATTATATTTTTCTTTTATGCTTTCTCAGTACTTTTTAGCTCGCAGTTTAGCTCCTGTTACTCTGCACTGCCACATAATACACTTTAATGTTTCATAACAGGGCTGTAGGAGAGACTGCTAACCTTGAGTTCACCTCTGCACAGAATCAATCAGGGATTGGTTTGGCCTCTTACATTCTTTATTTTGTCTCTCTCACGCACACACACAGACACGTTATAACAAACGCAAACTGTGCTCCACTAGAGGCTACAGTACCTGGCTTACGGATCACACACGAGTCTTAACTGGTCTTTCACACAGGGCTGTGTACGTGTGTGTTTGTGTCCACTGGCATGGACTCTGCATGTGTCAGTCCAGCTCCCAGCGTGCTACCGCATAAAAAGGAAGAAGCAGATTAGCAAACGTGCAGCAGCTGTGCTGCTGAGCTCAACCTGGCACTACTCCCCGAATCACTCTGCCCCACCTCTCCTCCTGCAGCTAAGCAAAAACCACACCCAGCCACCACAGGGGCATTTATCATCCTGGCCTCTGCCCTTCTGGTGGATGTTCTTAGTCTTGCTCTACTTTGGGCCTTTCCTGTGTACATTCAGATTTATTAGCATTGATCAGTTCATCCCTCTGGATGAGCCTGCTTTCCAGCTGCCTTCCAACTAATTTTCTTTATCTTGGCTTTTAATCATAGAGGAATTGGCTGTGACTTCCTTTTTCATATTGTGGCCAAGAGTTTCTGATGTTATCGTTGCTGTCACGCATTTGCATCCCCGACTGTATCTCATACCTGTGGTAAACAGCTTAGTCATCACTGAAAGTTAAACTGAGGCTGGCTGCTGCAAATCAGTCCTTCCTAACTTTTATTCTCATCTCTGCCTTTTTTTTTTCAGTCTAAACACCCACATTTCGCTTTGTGCACCTTATAAACGCACACGCATGTCTACACACGTAGATACATTACCGAATTTCAAAGTGTCTGACTCATTTATTCACCTGTTTTGCAAACTGCTACGTGCAGCTTCTGTCCCTTTGCGGACTCCTTCTCTTCTTCCTCACTGCCTATCCCTCACTGTAGCTAGATGCTTAATTAGCAATTTGTTAAGGACACACTCTCCCTTCGGCAACTACACACTCACAAGGCACAACATAAGAGCAGGCTGACCTGAAAAAGACCCCGAGCGAAGCGGTGACAGAGGCAGGAAAACAGTGAAACAGAGGGTGATTATGAATGGATGCAGTGGTGGGGAAGTCACAAGGGAATTGAATCGGAGTCTTGGGATCTGCAAAATAGTCATGTTTCCTGTTGATGCTTCTCAGCTTCAGAGTTGAAAGTGTTCGCCAGGATGAGTCGAAATCTGAACGCGCGCCAAGGATGCGTGGGCATTTTGTATCTCAGATAGCATGATGCTTGCACAGAAACACACACTATCAGCATTCACAGTTTATTTCACTGGCACACATATTTCCAAACTTGGTTTTCATCCATCAGTGATTTTCATGTTTTTTTAAATAAACCAATTAGTTGAACTAATTCATTCATAATTTGATCTTCAGTATTGTTTGTTATTGTTTTTCTTTACAGCTGAAATGAAGTTAAATGGTTAAAAATGGTGTGCATTTGGTTTAGAGTCATTTGTGATGGACATTTTCTAATATTTGTTGTCATTTCAAACAGATCAGAAAATGTAATTGACAGCAATTAAATGTCTTAAATAAAAAAATTATATTTTCTCATCCACCTTCTTATTTCCACAGCGAGTTGAATTCCAAACTACAAGACACTCTGGAGCAGATCGAGGTATGTGCGTCCATGCTTCGTCTCTAATTCCATTAGCAGAGAGCAGTAAAAGGACGTTTAGCAGTGTGTAATATGGAGTTCTAACCTCATCATTTTCCAGAAGCCTTGATCTGAAAGAAGCAATTTATGCTTCATTTTGACATTTTTTCATAGTTTGCCTTTCTTATTCTGGGTCTGCCAAATATTGACACATTCAGAAAAGTCGTTATTATGAGTGTGCAGGCATAGTAAATTATCTGTTTCATCTCTGGCTGTGTCGTGATATGTGTGCGTGCATATGTGTGTGTGTGTGTGTGTGTGTGTAATAAATGGTATGCAAGGCAATTTTCTCTTTACGCCTGCTGCTGCGCCTGAGTAGATTAATTACTTACAGTTTTGTCCGTAAACAAGAAGGAGACGTGCTCGTGTGCACATCCACCTGCCTGGGTGCTCGTTTGTTTACCTGTCAGCATGAGTTAGTTAAGAAGTGATGCAAAATCCTTTAAAATCATAAAGCTACTACAGTCAGAAGCACTTGGACCATCTATTGTGCATCTAAGACGGTCTTTTAAATGTATGAATATACGCGTCCCCAGCATATGTTGTATACGTAGTCATCTGGCTCTCTTAATTACTTTACTGACTAGTTACTTCCTGTCGTGCAGTTCTAGTTTTTTTGCTTTTTAAGGCATGAGAAAATGATTTGCGATGCAAGGCGATTGATCATTTAGCCTTTATCGGCGCTGTGCTCTTTGAGGTCAGCTCATTGTTACACATTACACACTCTCATGCTAACTTTCCTTGCCTCCCCTTATCTCTTTGTCAAAGTCTTAGACACACACACACATCCACATCCAATTACCTGCCCTTGGCTGTGTGTGATAGCTTTACAACTGCACGTCCATATCTAAATCCCCGGTCTTAAGAACGATAATCCCTCTCTTTTTATTTTTTCCCCCCCCTTTCCCCTTACTTTGGCCCTTTTTCCCCTCTTTGTCATCTGCCTATTTCTGGCTCCAGGAGCAGCTTGACGTCGCTCTGTCGAAGACTTGTAAGCACTTCGATGTCTCGCACTACACCAAGGTCCAGCTGGCCTACACACTACTGGGGAAAACACAGGTCAGTGGTTTGACTGGCCTGCAAGGGTCAGCGGTAATGGCTAAACATGGATTGACAATAACCTGCTTATTTTCTTTGTTTGCTGCAACTTTTCTTTCGTTTGACTTTGTCTTTTGCTCTTATGGGGATTTTTTTGTGTGGACCTGAAAGATAACTCCATCCTTTCAGTTTCTGTCCTTGATGCTGTTGTTTTCCTTTTTGCACTCCTCTGCTACTTCGGGAGTTTGTCCAATTAGCTGCTAAAGTTGGTCCCTCATGTTTGCAACTTTTTTTTTTTACCTTTTAGATAAAAGGAAAATCCAGAAATAGTTTGGTTAGAGCCAAGAAAAACATAAGAATGGAGTTTTAGTAAAGTTTTTCTTTGTTATTAATGTTATTACACCTTTTTAATTAAATGAGTGTATTTTTAAACCAGCTTGTACATTTTGTGTTTTCTCCTTGAAATAAAGCATATTTTAGTCTCTCTGAATGAGCATGGCCACATCATAATTTTCCAAAATGATCCAATATTCAAAACAAACAGTGTTTGCCTCAGACATGTTTAGCTTATTTGAAGCTGTAAAGTCTTTATGTTAAGAACCAAAACAAAAAAATTACAGCAGTTTCTCAGGGAGACACTATAATAGACTTTAACCTTGAATGACACTGCTAATATCTTTTATTAGTAACTCCTGCCTGTTTTTTCAACTTTTGCTCCCATGTTCCCGCCTGAAATCGAGTTACACTGAGAAGATGAATCTTCTGCAAACACGATATCTTAGTTTTGCAAAGTTAAAGACGAAATTAGAAAGCAGAGAGCAGTGTAGCTGCTAACGTGCTGAATATCCTCACAACCTGAGAAACTTGCTTTGTTGAGAATGAATGATTCCGTACAGTCATTGTGTTAAGGATGATTTACAGGACACACTAGCAAACTAAGGAGCTGCTGTTGTTGTTGTCGTGTCTGTGTTTATCTCAGTTAGTCATTTTCTTTATCTTCATCTCAAATTTTGTTTTTGCCACATTGCAGACAAATGCGCTCTTTTAAACTGTTCCTTTTTGATACACAAATTAACTGTCTGAAGGTAGTAATCAGCCTCACAAAATGCCTAACAAACTGTAGCAAACTGTGCCAAACCATTTGCATCCCCCCCGTTACAATAGTCTCTTGGCAGTCATTACCTAGCTGTGATGGGCTGGTTTCATTCAAGCTAAATAGTCTGACAGATCGCTTTATTCCATTTATCTGTTTAATTCTTCTGCTTGTTTGGGAGAAGAAGCTGCAAAATAATGAGTCTGGACATGCAGTTTATTGATATTTATGCCTACTAAAGGGGACTCATGCTGATTTTTTACATTTTATTTTCCGCCATACATAACGCTACAATCGCCGAGGCTCACGTCAAATTTAGCTGAAGACGAGGTTTATTGTCACGAGGGCGGTTTGCCATAGTTACTTCCCTTTTTTTCCCTCTTCTACAGTCTAGACATTGTACAGCCAGTATTTTCTTTTTTTTTCCTCATGTGTTTTTGGGTCAGATGAAGTGAAACTCCCCGAGAAAGAAGAGAAGAAATGTTTAAATGACTTTTGTGCAAGCAGGGTTTCACAGCGGATTTTGGGGGGAGCTACATTTTGTGGTCATTTCTTTTAGTAAGAAATGTAATTGCACTGCAACACCCATTACCTAGGGCTTTGCTCAATACTCTTCCCACGTCTCTTGCGACTGTTGTGTCCTCATTTCTCAAGGGTCCCACAGTGAGACGGTGGGTAGGAGCTGCAAGACAGTAAATTGGGGGTAAATGTAAACTGACTTTAGAAAAGAATAAATTATAGCAGACACAAACCGACTGCATAACTATAGTTTTTTGGGGCTTTTTTGAAAGATAAGTGCTTTTTTTTGTATTTTTTAGTTATGAGTATCTTTTGGAATTACTCTTACTTAGAAAATCTTTAATGAAACTGTCAGTTAAGGTAATAAATCAATGTATTTAATCACTATTTTAGGTTAAATGAGCCTACTTTGTGTGAAAATTCCGCTTTAGGTCATTTTGTTTTAAAGCCCTCGCTTTGCTGTTGTTGTTTTCTTCCCATATTTGTCACTGGGATCTTTTCACTGTGAGCTACCTGCCCACGATCAAACAGCAGGCAGACAATATTGATGTTGAGCATCAATAGAATATTCCCCACGGGGGTATGTGGAGACAAAAACAGTATTTTATTATTATTTTTTGTGTGTGTGTCTGTTTCTTTTTTTTTTATTTAAGGGAGGGGAGTATTGAATTTACAGTCACCAGGTGGGCACGAATATACCTCCAGATAAATGCTTACACTACCTCATGTTTGCTGGATCTGTATATAGAAGAAATGTCATTACCTGTAGTCGATTTCAAACAAAAGCACAGCGGAGATGGAAGAGGCTCAGTGGGGAGTTCACCGAAAAGTAAATAACAGCAGGTTATTTGTAGGCAGTGTTTTTAAGTAGCAAGCGAGTGTGTAATTGTGGATTATCCCCCCCCCCTCGAGTCATAATGCTCCTATGATAAATGATTTCAACAAAATGGCTTCAGGTGTGTCACATGAAATTAATAGTGCGACGAGTGAGCGGAGCTGGAGGCTGCTAGCTCTGCCGAAACACAACATGCGTCACCAACATGTCTGTCTGTCAATGTGTTTTTCTGCAATTTCCTTATGACTTCATTAATTACCTTTTACAGCAGCAAACTACACTTAAAAAAAAAAAAACAACAACTTTGACTGGAACACTGCAGTTCCCAGAGTATGCGGCTATCCTCATTTTCCTTTGTGCCATAGTGTGAAACTAGAAATATTAAGTATACAATATGTGTTCCAAGAAGTGTGATTTGCAATTTCCCTGCTGTTTGCCTTTTCACAGAGCCACACTGGCAGACTGACAGTGACATCTTGGTGTAATAGTTTTCATAACAGTGTGTTTGGCTCTCTCTGCAGACTGCTATGGACCAGTTACACATGCACTTCACCCAGGCCATCCACAACACAGTGTTCCAAGTTGTGCTGGGATACGTGGAGCTGTGCGCCGGCAATGCCGATACCAAGTTCCAGAAGATGCAGTATAAGGACCTGTGCACGGTAAGGAGCTGGTGCTATCTGTTTGTTCAGTGTTATGAGCGGCTTCTTTGCTATATAAAGGATTAAGTCCGCTTCAGCTGGTTAGCGCGAAAGCCAGTATGATGAGAGCATGAAACCAGTGCGTTGTGCTGGATACACAAATACTTACTCGAATACGTTCTTATTCTCTTGCAGTGGTTTGTCAGATTTTCGTAAAAGTTGAATTAAGGAGGAGAGAAGAGCACGGAGAACATGATTGAAAGTAAAGAAGTTATTACTTCAGTGAGAAGCATAGTGTATTGTAGCCTTTCACTGTGAGATAATTAATCTTGGTCACAATACAGACTCAGTGCACTGCAGCAGCAGCAGTGCTTTTTACTTGGGGGAGGGGGTCTCCATACTGGCCCACATTCCTCAGATCTCGCTCTGTCTGTCTTTTTCTTTCCATTCAGATCGAAATAAATCACATTTCATGCCCAGCAAGCCAACTTGGCCAATTCATCATGAACATGCCGGGAGTGAGTTACACTCTCACCCAAGGGTATCAAGGAATGCTCTTAGTTATTGTAATCAAAATATTTTGGCTAGAAAATGCAAACTTTCTGAATGGAGAGATACCACTAGAAGTGGGGGGCGGGGTGCCACAACTTCATCTCACATAGCACCGTAAAGATGCTGAAATGTAACTGTGATCTGACGGAGCTCATTCATCCACAGAAGGACTACTTTATCAAAAAAAAACAAAAACAAAGTTCACTCTATAAACCTGCAGTCTGTGTGCAACAGCTGACCTGTCAGGTGTGTAGAAGAGCACAGGACATTGTTGGTAATGTTTATGCTGCTGTGCCACCTGTTTAAATGCACATTAAGAAGCTTTTATTGTATTGTTTTACTGCTGCGGTCTGATGTTGCAGGGTTTATCGTTGTTAAAGAAAAGTGCCACTCAGGACATCACACATCTGCTGCTGCTTCAGAAAACCCAGATTTCAATCAAAAACACCTGATTCGTATCATTTCCCACAGTTTTTTATCAATCGTATTCAAAGTTCACAACAATATACGAGGCCTTGGGGGACATGAGCACCTAGGTTGGCTAATTTGACCTTGACCTTCACTATTAGTACCCAAGGTCAAAATTGAAAATTTCGAGAAACCATATCGAGGTATCCATCACATAAAAAGGCATGGAGAGAGCTATGCAACACACTTTTAATGTTTTCAGTACGGTCCCCTACCACATGATAATAACGCCATAAAATCCTTATAAAACATCAAAGCTTCGGTATAGCCATTTACTTTGTGGGGGAGTTATGCTCTCTGAGTGCTCTTTTGTGTTATTATTTATCACCATATTGTTATCACCCTGAGTCACATTAGTGTTTTGACCGGCATTTCAGTATGTAGCAGATACATTAAAGGTGAATGGCGGCTTTGGAGAGCTGCTGAGTAAAGTACTGCAGAAATGTGAAAAAACAAAGAGAAAATAAACACTCCATGCTGCTCGGCTCACTGTAAAAAAGTAACTTTACTGTCTGTAAAGAGCTTTTTTAAAGCTTGTCTGGCACATTAATGTGGCACAACCCCCACTGCCCTCCTACGCTACATGTTAAGGTCACCTCTGTTACATTAAAATGTCATTTGTGAGGACTCTCTTAGCTCATATTGCCAGCTAATTCACCGCGCCTCACTGTCCTGACAACCTTGATATAGCTCGAGCGTCTCTCTCTCTCTTGAGAGAGACACAGAGTTGGTATTTTGTCAGTATTGGAGGTGACGTGACATCCTCAGAAAATATGTCCTCACGCCTGGCCTGCAACATAGAGGGTAAAGCATATGAAGGTATAGATAAAGGTTATCCCAAGCCTTATCTGAGGATACAGTTTCTCCTTATACGTCTGCTGTTGCTGTGGATTCCTCCCTGGTCCTTTGGTGTTTGAATGCACAGCTTTTACCCAGGGTATTTCCTGTATGCTTATATACACCATGGCCTGTCCTTTACCTCTTACCTTTGAGCTACATGCGCTTGCTTTCTGTTTTCATCTCTTCCACCCCTTTTTCCTGTGTGTTTCTCTCTGTTTATGCATGTTCTTCTACCCCTGCTGGTAGATGGCCTGAGAGGAGCTTATTTTCCTGTCTGTAAAGGGGTTCCAGGTCAAAGATTATTTTGGATGAATGTGTTCCTTCAGCCATTTGAAAGGCGACTGCTTGTATGTAGGAATTTTTTTTATACACAGTGAAAAAATCATTCTTCCTTCAAGACATAACTGATTTTATTCTTTTTAGTCTTCTTCCTTGCCTCCTTTTTTTCTAATCCGGACCAAGCAACTATTTATTATACCTCTCAGTCACGATACACATAAAACTGTGCACATCCTACTGTTTACTTCCGTTTGATGGAGTGTCTGTCAGCATATTGTGTCGCCTGAATGGTTCCACTCACAATACGAGCACACTACGGGTGAGTGTAGGTACACTTCAGAGAGTGTACCTACACTCACCCATTGAAGAGTTCTGAGGATGTTGTTACGGTCTTCTGTTCGATATGGCAGCTCATTCAGAAACACTCAAATGGAGAGGCATGTGAGCACCCACGTGCAGTTCCTTTGCTTCAATGACACCATATGAAGATCAAGTGTTTTGTTTTGACTCCTTACATTAGGTTATTTTATTTAGTGCACTTATATATATTAGGGGTGCAATGATACACAAAATTCACGGTTCGGTTCGGTTCGGTACTTTGGTGTCACGGTTCGATATTTTTTCGATACAAAAAAATGTTCATGCCTTTTTAATTTGTCATTTATTAAAATTATAAATATATATTTTAACTCAAAAGTACAGTTTTTAAATTTAACCCTAACCCTTGTGCGTGTTTTTTATTTTGACAGCGAATGCGCACCTGCGGACCACTTATGTGCAGCCCTGGTTATTTAGCTCGTCATATCGCAGCCACAGAAATTCTTTTGTCCATGAAACCATAAAGCTGCACTTTCTTTTTGCCTTATAGTCTGATTTGTCATAACTTCTCCGTTTGTGGTAAGCTTTTCTTTGGCTGTCACTTCTTCACCCTGACCTGTCTTATTTGGCTCAGCAGAACTAAAATATATATCTGTCTGTGAAGGTTCTCAGTCATCCAGGTCATCGTAGTCAAATATATATCCTGCTGCTTTTACACGCGCACTCACATAAGCTCAGCGATTCTCTGCGCGATCAACCTCTCACATGTTTAAGCTGCGGGAGATTTCACTTGTCATGTTTGCATAGTAAGCTAACAATTAATAAGACGATGTCAGAGGAATTGGTGCACAAATTTTCATCACTCACAGATCAGTACTGTCGCTCTCTATACACAGTTCGCACGATTGCAAAGTGAAAGCAAAAAAACAAGCGCAAATTCAAACGCGATTTCAATGTGTCACATATTGACAGTGGCTCACCGATGCCAATGACATAATTACCCAGCTACATTTCTGAAAGAATGCAAAAGCATTGACATATATTTTGCCTACAATAGCCCGACGGGCAGGGAAGAGATAGATTTTGGTAGCCCGACTGAAAAGATCGCTAGCCCCAGGACGTCGGGCTAGCGATATTGCGAGCCCTGTATCTGATTGAGGAATCACTCATCTTTGAAAAAGAGAGTTTATTACAGAGAAATGGCTCTTTCCAAAATAAAAGCTATACTATCCGCTTCTTCTGGGCTATATTCTCAGCAGCATAAGGAGAATCATGTGCTAACAGCTGTCTAAATGACTCGGCTAAAGTTAGTAGCATGCTTGTTGTTTTTGTCTTTGCACTAGGATGATGTCGGCGTAAATGTGCAGTCATATTCGTTGTGTTCCCACTAGTGCTTTCAGGTTAATCTCGTTGAAATGACCTTAACGCCACAACACGGCAAATCTCCGTTAACGAGCTACCGCCGATCGCCCCGTGCATGGGGCTAGATGGCCAACATATTAACGAGCTAACTGCGCTAACACACTAGCTCCCACCCATGTAATTGAGCATTGCATGGCAAACATACTGTTTTACTTTAGTCCATGACTCGCTTACCTTCAGGGTCATACGTCACATGAAAACCAAAATAATTCCAAATGCCAGATCTGAATGCCCTGCGCTCTTCCTTCTGACGATGCTGTCTGTGTTGAGCGCTCAGTGAATCTGCGTTCGACTACTCCGCCTAGGCAGCACTGTCGAGCCTAGGCGGAGTAGTCGAACGCAGATTCACTGAGCGCTCAACACAGACAGCATCGTCAGAAGGAAAGTTGATAAAATAAATCAAAAATTTTGTATTGTTCGATACATATGCATACCGAACCAAAAGCACTGTATCGAACGGTTCAATATCGATACGAATATCGTTGCACCCCTAATATATATATATATATATATATATATATATATATATATTATATATATATATATATATATATATATATATATATATATATATATATAATTTTTGCGACACTGATCACTCAGTTCTTGTTTCCAAGGTCTGTCTGACATATATGAAGAATATACTTGTTCTGGCTCAGACTACACTGAAAATGTGTTTTAGGCAAATGAGCAGTGCTCTTTGAATAAATACTTTTGATATGCTCATAAGAAACGTTTGACATGCTCATAAGAAACGAATTAAAATCCCACTTTCTGTGCTTGTCTAGGCCTGTAATAACGGGAAATTTTGTTTTTCTGTGGAAATGCAAACTTTACGGGCTCCTCCCCTGATAAATAAAATTTGAGGAAATGTTACAGCCACATCTCCCCCTGTGAACTCACCGTTTAGTTATGCGCCTTAAAAATTCAAGGCAAATGGGAGCACTCAGAAAGGTCAGTTCTGATTGTGAAAGGGTCTTATTAATTTTACATCAACATCTCATCAGTATTGGATAGCCTCACCTCCCATCAATCCCCTAGTCTATACGAATCTCTTGATTCAAATAGGTTAGTTCAGTCCAGAAGTCATAGACTGTCACACAGGAGAAGTGATGAGGGTGGACTGGGCACTTCATAACAAATATGATACATTTCTTGCTCGTAAACCATAGTGATTATAGTAATGATGTTTATCCAGCCTGTCAGAGTAAAAATAGCATCAAATGAGAATGAGCTCATGCAAATATTTGTTTTATTCTTTCCAGCATGCACACACTCATTTCTAACATGCTGGGATGCTATTTTAAATCAATAAGTGGCCATGATTTACAAAATGTCATACAGTTAGGTCCATCAATTTTTGGTTCTGCACACTACAGTGGATTTAAAATCAGCCAAGACGTGATTAAAGTTGAGACGTTCAGCTTTAATTCAAAGGGTTTGTTATTGGTAACACTGTAACTGTTTAGGAGACCCATGAAAGTTTTTTTTCTAAAGATGTTCTCAATCCTAGATGGCCTCTGTTACAACACTCCAGTTGTTTAGGCTAATTTAGTAATTAGCCTAAACGACTGGGTATAAGAAGAGGATTCCAGAGATGGTGAGTCGTTTTAAATAGACATGGGGAGTGTACACCACTCAATACAAATACTGAAGTTAAACAATTCAGAAATAAATCTTCTGAGTGTAAAATTGCAAATTCTCATCTATGATCCGCAGTATATTGAAAGATTCAAGAAATTCTTAGAAGTGTCTGAATGTAAGGGCCACGATTCTGTAGTAAAAATTAGAACACGGGGTCAGAAACACTTCTGATTCCCATCGTCAGTGAACTGTTTAACAAATTCAAGTTAAACCAAATAACACACAAAAAAATATGTATTCTTTTCACGAGGAGATGTGATGACGACTCAGATTTGACACCTCAGCATATATTAATAAAGATGGGATTTCACAATGATTACAGTAGTTTCTGGTTTTGTCCAAGGGTAGCTGCATAGGTAGAAAACACTCTCATCCACTTCTGGTGCAAATCCAGTCATTATTTTACATAAGCAGGCCTGAAATATGAGAGAAACCGCTCAGTTCAGAAAAGAGGAATTGGTCTCATGTAGTTTGTTTTTATTACCCTGTCACAGAAGCTGTTTAGCTGCGTTTTTAAACTTCCCTCAGTTCTCTCAGAGGAATGTTTTTGCTTTATTTTGGATCATCATGCCAGGGTGCCCAATTTATTAGATCTTTCTCTCTTTAGTCTCCTGGATGATTTGTGTATGTATCTGAATATCTGTAGTTTGAAAAGCAACAGGAAAAGTCACCAACTGCGTAGCATGGGCTCTTAATTGTTGCTTTTGGCAAAGTTGTGATGCTGCATTTACATTACAGTTTTGCAAAGTTTTTTTAAATTAATTCATTCTAAATGCTGGATCCTATTTCGTTAAGCCTCATTCGTGAAATCGCATTGAGGTCAGGATCTGTTTTGAAAATTAAATGTGCACAAGAAGATGGCAATCCAGGAAAAACCATCTGTTTCTAACACATCAAGTACAAAAAAAACTTCAGAGATTATTAAGAATATAAGCTGTAATTTTAAGCTGTGCTGCAACTTTTAAGTGCAAAGACTGGATGCCAGTTATCTCTGTACTCAACTAATGTAAGATATTGCAGCTTTTACCCAACCAGACTCGTACAATAAGTCTGCAATGTGAAAGTGGGAGCCAGAATTGAAGAAAGTCTTCTCTGTGAGGTGCTTGTTTAATGATGTTTATTGAGTATTTGAGGGAGAGAGCCGGGGATTTGCGACTGTCCCTCGATCGAGGAAAACTGCATTCTCTTGTATTCTCTTGTCTTGTAAAATGTGAGGCATTTGTATTTTTTTCTGCTTGCTCCTGCTTATGCCCACTCGCACAATTAAGGGAGAAATTCACTTAGCAGCACTTTCTTTCCAAACCCTCCCTGATACTTCTTGGCATTTGAAATGTGCATAATGATGGGAAACTGTCTTGAGAAAATCAAATGCCTAAAATAGATCCCGAACAGCTTCCCAGCTCTCATCACTGAACTCGTGGAGAGGGATGTGTCCAGCGAGGTTGATGACTGCTTCCAGTGATGGTGTAGATAATGTTTTTATAACTGCAGGTGTGATGGGCAGATCACTCACACTCAAACTCACACTTTCTGTGAGTGCAGTCGCGCTTACTTCTTCTCATTAAGCCCTGCTAAAGATCTTAACCTTCGCACTCAAACACCCCTCACTCTGGTTGCTTGGCAACATGGTGCTGTGATATGGTGGTGCTGGTGGAGAACATGAAATGCTATAGGTTCATGAGCACGCCTATCTAATTGGCACTGTTAGTCTGTTTGTAGTTAAAGATATATTTATCTGTTTTCTCCTTTTTATTGACACAGGTTGAATTTAGTAGATTGCAAATTGCCAGCTTGCTTTGTGATGCAGTGAGAAGTCCCTCTGTAGCCTGTTTATAAGCTTGGGTACAAGTAATGCTTTTAAAAAGATGCGTTTGTTTTCCTTGTATTATTGTGGAGTCATTACCTTACAGTATTAAGAATCTTCAGGTGACTGTTGTTGTTATTTGAAGCTCTAAAAATCAAATAGAATTGAATAAAAATTGAATTGAATTGGGGAAGCAGCACTGGAGCTGGAGACACAAACAGATTCATTAGGAAGGCTGTTTCTGGGAGTGGCTTTGGTGGAGTTGGGGTCACTGAACACACTGTTATACATTGTGGATTACATGTCCATCTTCTTCACCGCTCACTAGACAGGCAGCATTGACTGACTGAATCTGCTGCACTGTCATACGGACAAAGAGGAAAGGCTGTGACACTCCATAATACAATATATGTCTGAATGAGGTGTATCTGCAGGATAATACCGAATACGTTATCATTTTATCATATATAAACAATTTCTTTTAATACTATTAGTACTATTACTACTACTACTACTACTGTCAATATTACAATAATTATTATAATTTCATGATATTCATTTTAGCTCCTGAAACAAAGGAATTTCCAAGACATGGGATTAATAAATGATTTCTTATTGTATTAGAATGATCAGAATATTAACAAAATATTGCGCTTGGGCTAAAAGAATATTAAAGTGGATGTATTCATCTTTATCCAGACTAATTTTCCACCCACATCACATCATGTATATCTGCAGCACTGGGCTTGTTGTACAGATGCACACAAATCAGACAAAATGTATTAGAGCTTGACTGTTGTTATCACAGCAACTACAAATTGTTGATATCCCTTTGCTTTCCTGCATGCCTGCTAAAAGGATGCTTTGTCACAGACATCATAGACGTACTTCACTGTTGCAGTTAAAGTTTTAAAAGTCGTCTCTGTATTAATGTGGAAGTCAGTGACACGGTTACGTTGAAGTCTAATCGCTCACCTAGTGTGCACATCAAATATTTCCAAATCTGCTCTGTATATTTCTGTGATTACATCTCAGTACCGTCCCTGTTTTAATCACTTCTTATTTTAATTAACACTTACATAACATGAAAGTGTTTCTTGTGACACAGAAAGTGTTTTCCAGCAGTGTCCTTGGATGATTAGCATAAGCAGACTTTAATTAGATGTAATGTAGAAGACGGCCAGGAATCCGTTTTGCCCATCTCAGTAGCCCATATCTTTATTTCACACTTTTAAAAGTAGGTGCAATAGAGCTAAGGAAATACAGCACAAAGTTTTGTAAAGAATTAATCTAAAAAGGCTATTTTGACCTTCTTTTCATTATTGCTCTCTCTCTGCAGCATATTACCCCGGACAGCTACATTCCCTGCCTGACAGATCTGTGTAAGGCATTGTGGGAGGTGATGCTAAGCTACCACCATACTATGCAGTGGCACGAGGAGCATGACAAACAGGAGACCACACCCACTCCAGGTAAGAGTTTTACCTGTTCCGTCATATCAACTCAGTACAATTTCTCAAATTATACTTTACAAATCTTTTATTATTATTATTATTATTATTATTATTATTATTATTATTATTATTCAATTAAATTGAGTTTTATTTATATAGCGCCAAATCACAACAACAGTCGCCTCAAAGCACTTTCTACTGTAAGGTAGAGACCCTACAGTGATACAGAGAAAACAATCAGACCCCAAATGAGCAAGCACTTGGCAACAGTGGGAAGGAAAAACTTCCTTTAAACAGGAAGAAACCTCTGGCAGAACCAGGGACTGAGAGGTGCAGCCATTTGCATGAACAAGTTGGGGGTGAGGGGAAAAGAGACGGCCCATCTCATTCCAGACCATCTCGACTGGGTTTAGGTCAGGTGACTGTGGAGGCCAGGACATCTGACCCGGCACTCCCATCATTCTGCTTCTTGTTCAAATAGACCTTACGCATCCTGGAGGTGTGTTTGGGCTCATTGTCTTATAGAAAAATACACGAGGGTCCAACTAAATGCAAACTGGATGGGATGGCATGTCGCTGCAGGATGCTGTGGTGGCAATGGACTTGGTGAAAATGGGCTCCATTTTTTTTCCCACTGTCAGGGTAGTGCCAGTCTTTCCTTGTTGTTGATTTCCACTTACAATACATAGAGTGCAGAATTATTAGGCAAATGAGTATTTTGTCCACATCATCCTCTTCATGAATGTTGTCTTACTCCAAGCTGTATAGGCTCGAAAGCCTACTACCAATTAAGCATATTAGGTGATGTGCATCTCTGTAATGAGAAGGGGTGTGGTCTAATGACATCAACACCCTATATCAGGTGTGCATAATTATTAGGCAACGTCCTTTCCTCTGGCAAAACGGGTCAAAAGAAGGACTTGACAGGCTCAGAAAAGTCAAAAATAGTGAGATATCTTGCAGAGGGATGCAGCAGTCTCAAAATTGCAAAGCTTCTGAAGCGTGATCATCGAACAATCAAGCGTTTCATTCAAAATAGTCAACAGGGTCGCAAGAAGCGTGTGGAAAAACCAAGGCGCAAAATAACTGCCCATGAACTGAGAAAAGTCAAGCGTGCAGCTGCCAAGATGCCACTTGCCACCAGTTTGGCCATATTTCAGAGCTGCAACATCACTGGAGTGCCCAAAAGCACAAGGTGTGCAATACTCAGAGACATGGCCAAGGTAAGAAAGGCTGAAAGACGACCACCACTGAACAAGACACACAAGCTGAAACGTCAAGACTGGGCCAAGAAATATCTCAAGACTGGTTTTTCTAAGGTTTTATGGACTGATGAAATGAGAGTGAGTATTGATGGGCCAGATGGATGGGCCCGTGGCTGGATTGGTAAAGGGCAGAGAGCTCCAGTCCGACTCAGACGGCAGCAAGGTGGAGGTGGAGTACTGGTTTGGGCTGGTATCATCAAAGATGAGCTTGTGGGGCCTTTTCGGGTTGAGGATGGAGTCAAGCTCAACTCCCAGTCTTACTGCCAGTTTCTGGAAGACACCTTCTTCAAGCAGTGGTACAGGAAGAAGTCTGCATCCTTCAAGAAAAACATGATTTTCATGCAGGACAATGCTCCATCACACGCGTCCAAGTACTCCACAGCGTGGCTGGCAAGAAAGGGTATAAAAGAAGAAAAACTAATGACATGGCCACCTTGTTCACCTGATCTGAACCCCATTGAGAACCTGTGGTCCATCATCAAATGTGAGATTTACAAGGAGGGAAAACAGTACACCTCTCTGAACAGTGTCTGGGAGGCTGTGGTTGCTGCTGCACGCAATGTTGATGGTGAACAGATCAAAACACTGACAGAATCCATGGATGGCAGGCTTTTGAGTGTCCTTGCAAAGAAAGGTGGCTATATTGGTCGCTGATTTGTTTTTGTTTTGTTTTTGAATGTCAGAAATGTATATTTGTGAATGTTGAGATGTTATATTGGTTTTACTGGTAAAAATAAATAATTGAAATGGGTATATATTTGTTTTTTGTTAAGTTGCCTAATAATTATGCACAGTAATAGTCACCTGCACACACAGATATCCCCCTAAAATAGCTAAAACTAAAAACAAACTAAAAACTACTTCCAAAAACATTCAGCTTTGATATTAATGAGTTTTTTGGGTTCATTGAGAACATGGTTGTTGTTCAATAATAACATTATTCCTCAAAAATACAACTTGCCTAATAATTCTGCACTCCCTGTAGGTTTAGCAGATTTCTTCCTTCGAAAAAGGAATGACTGAACCTTGCCCTGTAAAGAAAATGTGAAATGCATGGCAGTGCTTTAGTGCTTTCTTTTTTCAGCCAGTAGCAGAACAATCACTCCTAATTACTCTGTCTCATTCTCTTCTTTTCAGTGGTGCAATGAAATGTGTCATTATAGCTTTACAATTAACCAGTTTTCCAGTAATGCTCAGCAGTTTGATGTATTTTAGTTATGTTGCATTATGAAACTTAAACTAGAACAGTAGTCTGTCTTAATTACTGGAATATGAATTTTATGTACTCATTATTGGATTTACATTATGCAATTAATGTGATCCGGGTGTAAGGATTAGATTCATGCAGTGTTGGTGGACTATGATGCATATGTGACTTTGGGTTTCTTCTGCTTTGTGCTAATACAAACAGGCCTTTTTAGAAGCTGTACAAGGATTTTTTTTTTTTGTAGTAAGACATGTAACACTGTATTTATAAATTATTAAATGTAAAAAGGCACCCAACTCAAGGGATGAACAGACAACTTAGCAAGAACCTAATTAAAATTGTATTTTATATACTTTCATAGCAGCCTTTCACTTCCTTTGTTGAATCTATAAAAAATGCTGAAGATAACAGTTTGATAGGTATAAAATAGCATTTTTGCACCGTGTTTTTTTCCCCAGAGAGCTATTAGCCGAATATCCCAGTAAAAAGTAAAAGAGGCAAAAAAAAACTATCTACAGCCAGCGTTGGAGTCATTACTCAAGATTTTCCTCACCTGGATGATTGTGCACGCATCAAGACACCTGTTACATTACTTTGTCGTTATTCTGTAAAAAGACCTGAAATGCACTGTCACATAATTACCAGCTAACAATATACAACTATAGGCTGCAGTCCTACACACCAACAAAAATCCTAATGAGGACACTTTTGATGCTTTTATTTTTTCTTTTTTTGTTCTATTGACCAGTCCTCAGATAACTGAAGACCTTTTGTAATGCATGTAACAATATAATTGTAACTATCATTTAATTACTGAGAAAACATGGAGAAAAGGTTAAGGTATCAAATTTCATTAGACCAGGAATGAACATAAATGATATGGAGCGTTAAATCCAAATTCAAATCATTGTCAGTATTTTCGTCGGAGGTCAGCTGAGAGGCAAAATGATGGAATTGTGAAGACAGAAATCTGATCCACTGTGGATTTGATTTTTATCAACCATGTAATACCATCTGTGAGGGATCAACCATACTGCATACCTAAATAGGAAAGCGCCCAAGGGAACTTTATCAGTCATAGATTGGCCACCCCAGATTCCAACTTCAATGCTATTGAAGCAATGTATTGTTGCACACTTGGACAAATGACACTTCCAGGCATAGATGAGTTTAGAATCATTTTTCCCAGGGGTCCAGTATCTATTACAATACATTCATCTGTGTCCATTACATGAGTCCCACAGTAGGATCATCTTGACAAAGAAGGAGAAAAGGCAGCCAGGATCCAAAGAAGAGCTTTGAATGTTGTTCAAGAAGCCCGGAAAACTATTCCTGAAGACTATTTAAAGAAATTACTTAAAAAAGCTTTTCTATGAGAGTTCAGGCTGTGTTGTAGAATAAAGGTGGTCACACAAAGTAATGACTTGAACCTTCTGTTTTTGCCGTACTTTACATGCAGTGTCTCTGTATATTTGAACGTTTCAACAAATTGCTGCTTCTGTTGCTCTTTTATCTAGCAAAATACAAAGAAGCTCTATTCTCAAGGCAGTTCGTAATTTGTGGTTTAAAAGTTGAATAAAAGTAATAAAGTACACTGGATTTCCAGTTACTGTTACCTGATTACTGTTAATATAATTATCTGAAGAATTTATCAAAAATAAGATGTAAATGAAGACCAGTCATATTAGCCATGCCTATTTATTTTCATCCCCCATATTGTACAGCATTCATTAGGTGAATGAATGAGGGCACAAAAGGATGTCCTAAATGGTTGATGACATGCTATGTTCGCAGGATCCTTCATTAAATGTGGTCGTCCTCAGTGTGGAAAGGACGGGTACCATTTTCCCTTTCCTGAGGCACATCTGTCATCTCACTATTCGATTGACTGTCACCTCCATGTAAAGGTGTCCTTGACCCTGGCTTTGTCCTGGTGGGGTGCGGGGGCGGGTTGTGGGTGGATCGGGTGGGTTGCGAGTAGTAATTTACTGTATAAGCTTTTATCATTTGTCAAAGAGTATTTTGTGGCGATGGTGACCTTCATTTCCCTACCTAACACAATGGATTTGCCGCTGTAGCACACTCCCCGTCGTGTTTGATCAGTTCCGATGGCCACTGGGAGAAGCCGTGGCTCCTTGTGTGGGAGAGCAATTGAGCATGTTGGAATGTACAGAAGCTGCCTTCACACCACATTAATGTTTAATAGCATCTTGGTATATAAACTGAAGTAGGGACAGTCAATTTGTGTGAAATGTCCTAAGATTACTTCTTTTGGTGCACATTAGAGAACGGAGTGATGGAGTAATCCACAACAACAATGCTATTATGACACAGCATTGCTGTGATGCCTAATATTGTTGCATTGGTGAAACGTTGCAAGGCAGTGATCTAAAATATAACACCATATCTGTTTAACTGCAGGACAGCTTATAACCTAGAAAATGAAAATCCAGGAATTATATATTTATTCTTTCCATTTGTGTGTTATTTGTTATTAATCGGTTCTTAGCTCTGATTAGCTTTTTTCTGCTTTCAAACATTGGCTG